TGTGGGTTCATTTCTTTTGATTGAGGTGCACCCATTTTAAGAATTTTAATAGCGCTAGCTTTTACCTTTATACTGCAGTCGGGGTTTTATCCCCACTTTTCAGGAAACACAATAAATAACCCACAGTACACTCAATTTGGACAACTCCGAGAATTAGTACTGTGACACACCGCCGTTCGTCTGGCCTGACTTACTAGGCTGGTACAGCTGTTGGCCTTTCCTGGCTACTAAGCTAACAGTGCGGTCAGCGATCTCAAACCCCCCCTTTGGTCATTACTCAGCCAGGGAGCCCACAGCAACCTCCTGCCTCTTACAATCTAACCTGAGAGTTCCCTACTGGACGCTTGCGTAGCGCAGTGCCAGATTGGGACTCAGAAATGACAAAGAAGGAAAGGAATCAGGTGCCCTTGCTTTCTCTGCTCACAGGTCATCTCTAACAAAGATCGCCATGGCAGAGGTGCGGCTGCACCTGGGAGTTATAGTTTTCAGTACAGAAGAAAAAGCACGACCTTTTTCTGGGCAAAACTCCGAAGGAATAGGTCGGCATATAGACTGTAGAAGGGAAATGAAAGAAGTCACACACAACTTTTGCCTGGGCATACTCCGAAGGGCTAGGGCTGGTGTTGAGATTGAGGGGACAGAAAGGAGAAGGCAATTTTTAGATGAGGAAAAAGTAGAAATTTTAGATTTGAAGGGAAAAGGAAGAATTTTGGTTGCTGTGGTTTAGAGACCCCAACCCACTACCCGTGTTTCCTACTTAATACTCACTTCCGCATGCGCTGTTCCTGGTGATCCTGGGATCTCTTGACTGGTTGTTTAAGGCCGGCCTGATCAAGCGTTGCTTCCTCTGGTTAGCCCCGCTGAACCTCCAGTTATTTCCAGACCCTGGGAATCGATGGAGGACTGGTCATTCCTCCTGGCAAACTGCCTGGTGCGCGCTGGATAACCAGTCCTTCCTCGCTTCCAGAATCCGGGTAACCAAAAGTCCCTTCGTGCGTGGTCGCCATCTGTTGTAAATAAAAATATGCCCTTTTCCCTTATGGGGTATCCAAGAGCCCATATAGAGTCCTTACATAGGTTCCCTATTGGTAGGAGAAAATAACAGAGGCCAACCAGAGAATATTGAGAAGCAAAGCAGCTAGTAAGCTTGATCTTTATTGATCTGTTGCAACAGGGTACTCCCTCACACGCAGGAGAGGAGGAGGACCCAGAAAGATGGTGTGCAAGACCTTATAAAGACTTTTGAAATTCCCATTCTCTAGATCAAGACCACCCCCAGAAACATTATGCATACATCACAGAAGGGGTGTAACCTAAGACCACCCCTCAGATACATCCCACCTACATCACAGAAATTTAAATGTTGTTCACAGAAATTTAAATGTTGTTTTTCTCCTGTCACAGTTTATCTCCTGTCTAGCAGGTTACTTGATTGGATTTCCTGGGGAGCCTGGCCATTCTTTTGTAGTGGTAAAATACTTATTTCCTGGGCCAGGTCACAGGCTCACACCTTATTCAAACACAGATTAAGACAGGATTTGTGAAAGAAGAGACAATGGGGAGGCTTTTCCATTTTTAACCTTGCAGAGAAAGGATTTGGTCAGTTTAGGAATCAAAATGGTTCCAGGTTGGCTTTCCTGTGCTGATCTATGTATGTGCAGTTATGAACATTACTATATATTTAAGACCATAAAATTCCTATCACACTACCCCTACCTAGCATTTAGAGTCATCATTTAATATTCAAGCCACATCATCTGCATTTATCTTGCTGAAATCCTCACAGCGGAGGGGAACCTGTGGCCTTCCACAAGTTGTCGGACTCTGGCTCCCATCAACCTCAGCCACAGTTGTCTGCTCTTCCGTTCCTTCCTTAATTTGAAACCACCACTACCCAACAGTAGCTGTTCAAAACTAGTTGAGTAAAACAGGCCCAAATAGGATTTGCCCATCATCTCCAAGTGCTCAGATTCTAAGACTAGTGGAAAGGGGTTGAGTATACAAGGAAAATAGACTCCTGTTTCTGTTTTAGTTGTAAGCCATTTTTTAGTCCTTCCAGGGAAAGAGGAGGAATATAAATGTAATAATACCAAAATGCTTGAATTTAAACTGTAATGTGTGACTATTCAGAGGGGGAGGGGGAGAAGGTATTTTACTCATTCTTAGACACACCCTTTTGATTATAACCCTACTTGTTCCAGGGCTGAATTCTGGCACTGATAGTAGTTTACACCTAGGCCTCAAGCTTGCATGCTAGGCATTGTTAAATTTTCAGAATGGAGCAGCAGCATGCATTTAGCCTGGTCTCCAACGTGTCACAGATGCAGCTCTATGGTGTTAAAATGCGCCGCTACTTTCGCAGACCCTTCAAGTGTCCCTGTCTTCTAGGGACAGTCCTGGATTTACAGAAATTGCCCCGGTTTCTGATTTGATCCCAAAATGTCCCACTTTCCCTTAGGACGTCCCTATTTTCATCAGATAAATGTTGGAGGGTATGGGAGTTATGCGACCCCCAAGCCAAGGAGATAAGTAACAATACAACCTTTAGAAGACATCTGAAGGCAGCCTTGTATAGGGAAGTTTTTTAAAAAATGTTTCATGTTTTATTATGCTTTTACATATGTTGGAAGTGGCTGGGGAACTCAGTCAAATGGGCAGGGTAGCAGCAGTAGTAGTAATAATAGAATGTGATGTCCCTATTTTCATCGGATAAATGATGGAGAGTATGCTATTGGGTTGCATCAACTATCATCCCTGACCACCAGGTCAAGCAAGGAATGAGAAAGCAATCAACATAATAGGGGGCAGGCGGTTAGAGCAAACGTTCCTACAAGGAGACCTTACAATGTTTGGAGCTAACTAGTCTGGAAAAGAAGGCAAATAAGGGGGACGGACCATAAAAGAAGTATATAAATTTATGCTGTATGGTGGAAGAATCAGGATAGGCAAAAGGGAACACATCTTCACACACCACATAATTAAAACTTTGAAATTTGCTTCTACAAGATGTGGTGATGGACACAACTTCGCTCCATGATAGGGAACAACATGGGGGAGGGGGCTATTGCCCTCATTCCCTGCTTGTAATTCTCCTGTAGGCATCTGGTTGGTCACTTTGGGAAACAGAGGGGTGGACTTTGCAAGCCTTTGGTCTTATGCAACAAGACTCTTCATATGTCTTAAAAGTGGCTCTGCTTAAAAGTTTCTCTAGGAGAGCAGGACTTGTTTGGTGGCACTGGGTGCGGAGTTTCTGGGGTGCCACAGCCCGTGCCGCAACCATGAAATCCAATGGTCAGCAGTGGAGGGGGGCTGTATTTTGGTGTCACACGGCGTGCCAATGAAAGTTGAGACACCAAGATTCTCCACTGCTCTGCTCCCAATTTTCCTGCATCAGCAATAGCCCCTGCTGCTCAGTGTGATTGCCCTGGAAGTTATAGTTCTAGCTGCTTATTTTACCTGAGTCCATGGGTTGGAGCAGCTGCGGCATTTAAGTTATGAATCCCATGTGATTATTGCCACTGATAATTTTGTAAAATTGATGCCACGGGAGCCAAGCGGTGAGCAAACCTCTTTTAATACTGTGCCATTCTTTCCGCAGCTGATCTCAAAATGGCTGCCATCCTAGGTATCTGTTCTCTCCCAGTTCCATTTTCTTTCACACACCCATTCACAGCACACTTTGGTTTCCAGTTATCATAAAGGGAGAACTCTGGCATTTGGTCACACTGAAAGAGGCATGAAGAATGAAAGAGCTATTTGCTGTTGATGAAAGTACAGTGGTACCTTGGGTTACATACGCTTCAGGTTACAGACTCCGCTAACCCAGAAATAGTGCTTCAGGTTAAGAACTTTGCTTCAGGATGAGAACAGAAACCGGGCTCTGGTGGCGCGGCGGCAGCAGCAGGAGGCCCCATTAGCTAAAGTGGTGCTTCAGGTTAATAACAGTTTCAGGTTAAGTACGGACCTCCGGAACGAATTAAGTACTTAACCCAAGGTACCACTGTAACGGTAGAGCAGCGTTTCCAAAACTTGTGTCTCTGGCTGTTTTTGGACTACAATTCCCACCATCCCTAGCTAGCAGGACCAGTGGTCAGGGATGATAGGAATTGTAGTTCAAAACAAATACCCAAGTTTGGGAAACACAGCTATAGAGTATAAGGGGGCAGTGGACCTTGAAACTGAGGCTGATGGAAGTCCAATATCATCTGCTGGGCCAAAGGTTCTCCACCTCTGCAGTAACTGTTAAAATAACTAGGAATGTTTCAGGCAAAGACGGAAACTGAAGGCCCTAGTAGGCTGCAACATTCAGATAATGTACATTCAGTGATTATTTCTAAGAGTGGATGAGTCTTTAAAGCGACTTGGGCCATAGTCCGAGAGCTACTTGCCTGGATTTCAATTCAAATTGTCTAGCCCATCTTTCTCAGAACAGGCTTTAGGCCTACTTACCTGCCTTGCGCTCAAGTACCTTTTGCAAAGAAAAAAAATAGTAGCCAAGACATTAACTGGGTAGGCTTGCTTACTCAGAAGTAGGTGCCACTGAATTTACTCCCCAAATTAAGTGTGTGTACAATTGCAGTCTGGGTTTAAATATTCATACAACTATAAAGCTCACTTCATGGCTTTGGGCAAGTCACACCCTCTGTCTCTTAGCCTAACCTATTTCAGTGTGTTGTGAGGGATATATCTTTGGTTTATTGCCTCTGAGTGCCTTAGAAGCGTTGATACAAATGTTGCCTTGCTGTCTGGATTAGTCTGAAGTTCTAATTTCAGGTACAGTATTTCAGAGATGCAACAGATTGCATTCGAGGAAGGCAATATCCAGGTCCACAGCTCTACTGGACCACAAAAAAGTGCAAAATAGTAATAGCACTTAGTATATCCACCAGAAATGAAAGATATGGTCAACTTGAACAGAGCAACCCATATAAACAGCCTCAAATCCTCTTGTCCCGGCAAGTTCTTTTTAATGTTCCAAGTAATGACATGAGAACAAAGGCTTTGTTTTTGCTCTTTATTATACAAAAGGAAAAAAAAAAGGAGGGGAGGGAGATCCACAGTTTTAAGTCTATTTAGACTTGAGGCTGAAGTTCTTGCCATGTTGGTGCAAATAGCAAAAACTTCTAAGGAAACCAAAAGCATCCTGAGCTTGCCAAGTCCCATTTAGTAATAGAAACCGAAATCCAGTACATTTTAATATTTTTTGGCATTTTAAAGTTTTTTTAAATCTACAAAAACACTTTAAATATTAGAAAAAAAATGATTCCTTTTTCACAAGAACTTCTATCTGGAATATCACATTTTGTCAACAGTGCAAAAATGCACTCAGTCCCACCTTCTTACAGTACAATCTGTCTCCCTCCCTAACCCCTGGTAACATTTTTTTTCTTTTTTTAAAAAGACATCAGTACTGTAAGAAATTTACTTTAAAGAACAAGGTTTTTTTAAGGTTTTTTTTTTTTTACTTAAAAAACACATCTACTAAAATACAACAGAGCTGGTACATTCAGCAAAATCAAACCAGGTGTTTCACTTTAGAAGGATGAGAGAGAGGAGAAAAGGGGGAAGGAAGATTGACTGACGGAATCAGAAATAGAGAGTTCAGGAGCATCAGAGGGGTTGATGTGTGACAAATGTGCATGACTGGGCACATCCTATCAGAATTCAGACATGGCAATGAAAAGCAAAGTTAATGTGGAGAAATCTAGCTTGATGTGGCAATGGCTGAAGTGTTTCTTTCAGGTTTCTAGTGGGTAGGATCTGTTAAGAGACTTCCTGAACCTGATGCCCTCAAGTCAGTCCCGGTTTGCCAGGCCTTTGGAGAAGGCACCAAGGTGGGGAAGGCTGCATTAGAACAACAGAAAGTGTTGCATACACTGCCTGGTTATTGTATGCAATCCTTCTCCCCCTGCCGCTGATATTTTGCGTAATTTACTTCTACGTGTGGCCACATTTGCTGCATCAGAACAAATGCCTCCATTCCACAAATGATAACCAACTTCCTTGAGGTGAGAAAGGTACATCTAAATGGATGCATCCTACATTTTCATTGGGTCATCTCATTTCTGGCAAAGTTCTGACAAACATCTTATGAGGCGACAAGGTTTTCCCTACCCCAGCAGAGACAAAATTGGGAAAGGCTTGAAAATTATATAAAAAGGGAGTCCAAAAATGTTAAGGTTTTGGTTCTCGCCTACCTCCACAAAAGATGTGTGCATGTGTGAATCAGAGTACACATTATACCAGCCACAAGTTCACTAAGAAATAACTCAACAGAAGAGGTGTTAACTGATTAAAATACACTTCCCAAAGGGTCACTTAAAAGGGATGGAGTTTCAGCTTCCACTGCCTTCAAGGAAGGTGAGGCAATTACATGTAAAAACTCCACATGATTTGGGGATCCATAGCCATGATGCCCCCTTAGCACGGTTCTGTATGGGCCTTCCCTGTGCAAAAGCATTTATTGGTAGCTTCCATGCAGTTCACGTAATGAGAAAAACTTAGCACCAAACGGGCAGAGGGCAAGGAGGAGGCAACAAGGTGTTACCTGAAACATACACAACTTGCCACACTTCTTCACAAGTCTAACCCCCCCACCCACCTCAGGATTCTCTTGCAGAATGAGGTACAATGACAACAACCGAAAACAACTTCTAGCTTTGAGGAACACCTATTGGTTCTAAAGGAAGATTACGCCCAACCACATAATCTGGAGACAGTACTTACCCCCATGCCGGGCTCCCTGTAGTTTGGTGCCTTGCTTGAAAAGGCTCTTAACCCATGTGATAGCCTCTTCATTTGCATGGCAGTGAGGCTTCCCTCTTGATCAAAGATTACTGGCGTGGGAATTGTGCATATCAAGGGACCAGCACATGGGTGAAGAGCCATGTAAATGAGATGTTGGGTCAAGTAAACCCCTACATAGTAAGCATTTTTAAATGTAATACTTATCTTTTATACACCAGTTCAAGGTCAGTGACAGGTTGCAGGCAAGGATTTATAGAATAACCCGAAGAACTTCAGGAATGAGAACGTGTTGGTGATCATACAGACTTAAAAAGCAAACGTTGAACGGATTACTTACGATTTTACATGTTGCCACTCTTTTCTTGTATTTCTTGTAAATGGTTATTTATCACCATCATAAAGCTCCACCGTTGTTTAGCTTTAGGAAGACATTCAAACCTGAGCTACTGCCTCGCATTAGCAGTCCTACCAGGACATTAGCAGTCCTACCAGGCACATGGGCTAGGGTCGAAGCCGGGGGCAGGCAAAATGCTATGCCAAGCTGGACCAGCATCAGACCCAGTGCTATCCACTGATGGCAGTGTGGCCAACTTAGCCCCTCCCTTGGAATGTCCCTTTTCAGTGGCAGCACTTCCACCTACCAATCCAAACCCTTGCCCCACCCAAAAGGGGTGGATTACACCCTACATCATTTTAGTGATTCTTCCTGAGTAGCATTTCTATCGACTTCAACGGTTTTAGTTTTGATTACATGTACTTAATAATATCTTTTCAAGTCTGCAAGATCTTTGGAGGTTTTTCAAGTGTACTGAATCCACCAAAAACTAATAACCGTTTGAGTACTATTCAAGGGCACAAAAATACCCATTTTCATGTGTACTGTACATTAATTGATTTCCTATGTTCTCAGGTAAGTTTCTTTTTCCCTGAAAAGCTTTTGCTCTAAATGATCTGGTGTTATTCAGTAAATCCCTGCTTGGATGTGTTACTGGTATTTTATACCAAGCCAGAAAAGCCAAAGGGCTATTGAGATCGACCGCTTGTCCAAAGACAACATACTTCTGTTGTTTTGCCTCCAAGAGTTCAACCCAAAGCAACCCAGACCAGTATGTACCAAAAACATAAACAAACAAACAAAAAAGACAGAGGAAAATCTTGACTTGTCCGAACTATTCCCACAACAACTGCATACACACAAACACACACTCCCATACGTGACGGTGCACTTCTCTTCGTAAACAAGACTGATGTGCTTTGCAATATGTCGATGCTCATGGAAGTAAGTTGTTCATCCCAATGAAAGTACAGTGGAAAACTGCACTTCTCAAGGTATGTTATGGGAACATTTGCATGTTATTCAGTCAAGTCATTCCCACAATGCAAAATACTCTTTCCTAAATTAATACGGCCACCAAGAGCCACTCAAGATTTCAATGGAGCCAGGTTTACACAGGTTCCAGTGGTGCCTGTAACCAGGTGTGTATATAAGTTTAATATCAATCCTGTGGCTAGTTTTGAAGTTTGCTACCCAAGATGACGTGGGTGTTTTTTTTAAAAAAACTAGAAATGCTAGCAAAGGTAGGGAAAGTTCCAATGCTTGAAACCTGCAGGTCCTCCCAAGGCATTTTGCAATAGTGGGAGACTTTTGTATATATTTGAGTTGCTGGTTCAAAATAAGATTATTTAACAACTGGACTCTTCCCAGTGATGGAACGGAGGTACAGCACACTTCCAAAGGGCAACTGTGGGGCCAAGATGCTCAAAGAGAAGGAATACATTTGGCACAGCAAGACATTGCAAGAGACAGTGAATTGATAGAGAAAAGCAGACTAAATGGGAAATACTGCTGTTAAGTTTTTTTATCCTGTAAATCGGATTTGACTAACCTGTGGCTTTCCTGATGTAGCTGAATTCCAACTCCCATCAACCCCAGGCAGCATGGCCAACGATCAGGGATGATGAGAGCTGTGGTCCAGCATCTGGAAGGGTCTTCAGTGCCCTTTGTAACTCCCTCTCTCGACTGCATTCTCAAATGGTCCAGCTTCCCTCCAGGGGAGTATCTGCAGTGCTAGAAGCCAAGTCTTTCTTTAGAAGACCATGTTTCCTTCATGAGGTTTCCAGACTTACCCAAAAGAGATCGGCAAAGCACAAGCCATGTGTTCAATTTCCACAAGGGGGGAGGGATAAAAAGGGTGTGTGTGTACTTTTTCTGGTGGGTATGCTTAAAAATAAAAATCCAAAGTATATTTCAAGGGGAAACAATGAATTCTGTAAACTACAATGCATTTGAAGTTTGTTTTGCAAAATTCTCATTTTGCTTGTCAACAGAAGACACAGGGTGCTATGAAGGACACTGAAGAGCCAAGATATAGTACAGAACCAGCTTGCAGGCCAAATTGGGGCTACAAGCCACTAGTCGCAGGATCTGGCCTTAAAAATGAGAAATTCCTTGTCATATTATTAGAGCAGGTAATCGTCCAAAGAATGTAAAAATAAAGGCTAGTCAGGGTGCATGCTCTCATAAACTAAATTATGTTTTGCATGTAAAATATTAAAGAAACAGAAGGACAGGAAACACAGATGGGAAGAAGCAAAAGGAGCCTTGCCTAAATACCACCTGTCCAATTAGATAGCAAGATGCAACATACCAGCTTGTTTTTCTGAGAAAATCACCAATGCCAATTTAATTTGTACTGATCTAGTTTGGACATTATGCTAAACTGTGTATCAACATTATGCGAACAAGTCTCAGGCTCATGCATCCGCCCCCTTCCTCTTTCTTGCACTGTGAGATTAGAAACTCTCTTCTCTGTTTGCAATAAACCATGGTTTAATATTATGGAAAATCTTAACTATGGTTTAGGGAAACAGGCCAGGATCACAGACCATGATTCCAATTGTGGCTTGTTTCCGTAAAGCAAAGTTAAACCAGTTTGTCCACATTTGGACACAACAAGTAACCATGGTTAATTAAATAAGGAAACAAACGTTTCTGATCTCTTCAGAGCAAGGGGAAAGCTTACATGTCCAAGGCTTGCTCAAGTAGAGCTAACACACATCTTAGTTTTACATCCAAACAAGGTAATAGTTTCTTGCTCTTTTTTCAGGCTGGAACTAAACATTACAGGAGACACACACCCCTGGAAGCAGCAGCCATGTAGTTCCGGCCCTTCCTTTTGCCCAATAATGTCTAGTCATACAAAGTGTTTCTTGAAATCACCAAGCTGCAAATTTCCCTACCCCTTTAGTTACTCCTGGGAGAATGGGTAGGGGAATTTGTGGCATGGTGATGTTTTGTATGATCGGGCATCTTACAAGGGAGAAGGAGGTGTGGTTGCTGCTTTTTCTTTTTTTTACAACCAACACCACCTGACCCCCAAATAGCATGTCTACTAGCTCTGATGTCGTTTACAGGGCAAACACAAAGTTGGTACTGGAGTTTCCTTTCCGTTTCTATTCCCCACAGAAGAGGCTAAGAAATACACTTCTTGGTGGCTGGAATCATTCTCTTCTTGGCATCAATCCTCTGCCCAAAGTTGAATGAACACATGCAGCCTGAATAAAACCAAGGGGAATCTATGTGCCTCTTATATACAAACCCTATCCACTCCTAAGATCCCAGCCTCTGCATAAGGGTAAGAGACATATCACGTACTCAATCTCAAAGATGGGATAATTTAGTTGTAAAAAAGATGGTTGTCTCACTTTGTTTATAAAACATTTTTTTTGTGTTTTTTTGAAAAAAAAAAGCTTAATGACACAGAGGATCCCACCCACAACCAACCTCCCGCTTCCAAAGACAGTCAAACAAAATGCCCCATTTTGGTACAATTATTGGTCACTTCATTGTAAAAAAAAATATATATATTAACAACAACAACAACCCAAAGGGGTCTGGCCACTACTGTCTTTGTTTAAATGCTGGTCAGAAAAACGACAGAAAAAGTCCACCTCCTGCAAAATAAAGTCAGTAACCTTGGAGCTCCCAAAATTCTCTTCTCCTGCGACAGCATACCAGTCAGATATTCTCTCTGCAAAAGAAATCCTTTTCTTCAGTTCCTTTTCTATTCCCTGACCCTTGCCATGCACTCACGTGAAATATACCCTCCCATCCCATTTCCTTCAGCAGGAAACGTTTGCTGGATATCCAGTTCATTACAGGAAATAACTAAGTGCAGCTGTGGCCATTTTGTTCTCTTTCATCAAGGTGTAAAATTTCTAGACTGTACAAGATTGTCCACTTTGAGGAGAGGTGGGTCACACTGGCAAAGTCCAGAACCTTCAATGGCTCGTGCTCTCTGGAACCCATCTCTCTGGCTGTTTGCTAAGGGGGGGTGGGGAAATCTCTCATTGCCATGTTGGTTTTTCGTTTTTTTAAAAAAGAATTTGTACAAAGTCCAAAGCTGGTGGATAGAATTGGGGGTGGGCGGGGGGGGTAGATATGTGAGGGGGGAGGAAATAAAAAGGGGCCTGTATTTTGCCAGGACCCTGCCCACCTCAACAAAAAAGGGGGGGGGACCCCCAGAGATTCAGAAGGGGGGGAGGAATAAGAGAGAGCAGTATAGAATAAAAATTCTCTCCCCACACCACCGCCACAAAAAAACCCTCCGCTGGTTGTCAGCTATTTTCTACCCCCCTGCTCCCCTCACACACAACCACACACAGTTAAATACAATGTGAGGTGTGCAAGGAGAGGAAGATAATTAAACCACAGTGATTTCCTTCCTCCCTTTCCTTCCCATCCTAGCTCTCCAGCTGTAGATGTTACTTTTATCCGGAAAAACAAAACCGAATAGAGTACAGCAAGAAAGGCGGCTGGAGAAAGGGGATGGTTCAATTGGAGTCCGAATCAGAAGAATCTCCTGAGGACGAGGAGGAACTGCTGCTGCCCTCAGATTCATTGTCGTCGTCGTCATCATCGTCCTCTTCATCATCCTCTTCTTCATTCTGGTGAGGGAAGAGGCAAGATATGAAGCTATGTCTAGTGTGGGTACCCAAGGTGATGCTGAGGGACTGCAGAATGTGGCAGGGGTGCAGAATTCAGTTTACTGGGAAATGCAACATTTATTTATTTTTAGAATCCAGCGTTTTCTTGGTACAGAATTTAGAGCGCTTTGACAGAAAATGTATATATGTATTTACAGCGGCTCCTTGACTAGCGCTTTTGTTCCTTCATATGCAAGGTGCTGGCTTGCGTTCATTACCTCTCACCATCTGTCCTGGGAGCCTTGCTATCCACCATGTTTTGGGTGGGACCGGGGGGTGGGATGCTAGGGTTGTACCTTAAAAGAGTAAAAGCCTTCTAGTTATATTCAGAGGCACTGCACTTTTTGAACTTGTGAAAAGCCCAGCTGTTGGGGACAGCCCCCACTGCTTAACAAGCACAGTTAAGCAGTCACTGAAACACGCAGCCCCGACAATCAGTTTTGCAGAACAGGTGTGAGCAAAGGGTAGTGTATATAGAGAAGTGTACAGACACCCGCACACTCACCTCATCCCCGTCTTCGCTCTCCTCTTCACTACTTGAATCAGAGGAATCCCCTCCCTCCTCAGAGGAGTCAGCATTGTCATCGTCCTCCTCCTCTTCCTCTTCATCGTCATCATCATCGTCGTCGTCATCATCCTCGTCCTCAGATTCCTGCAAACCACACAGGATTTAACAGAGACATGGGAGAGGTAGACTGAAAACACCAGCAACGCACCTAGAGCTCAACAGATGGCATTCACCTTTATACACCCAAGAGTCCACAGTAAGAACCTCAAGTGGCCAAACATATCTCTGTTTCTCAAAATGTGCCTTCTTGCATGTGGATGAAATGTGAAGGTGCTCACCAGGGTGGCACAGGCATGGTTCAGGGCCTTAAATGAAACTGAATGCAATATAGCTGTGCCAGGAATTACAAAGGAGGGTAAAATATATGCCCCTTCTGCCCCAATATTCTGTTAAAAGAAAGCCAGCTCAACAACCCAAAGTTCTCACTATAGAAAATTAACTGCTGCACCACTGGTTTATTTTTAATGAAATGCTCAAGAGCTCCAGAATTTTTACATTTGCAACTTCAAGCATGCCCACTTAAGGAAAGTGGAGAAGACCAAAATGAAAGAAAGAAAAGCAAAGGGGTCTGAAGAGCAAACAGCTCTCCAGCTATCAGTACCTGAAGTGCAGCAGAAAACCTCTCCCCATCCAAACATCATCTTCATGGGACTAATGATTTTAAAAATCCATCCCACAATTTGTCATGCGAATCAACTGATGCCCATGGAAGCAAAGTTACTTGCACCCCTTAGCTACAGAGGGGGAAAAAACTACATTCCCTATAATGGGGTTGTTGAGCTTTACTTGGCAAAGCTGTTGAACTAAAAATGACGTTTTTGAGCTATTTTTAAAGTTAATCGGCAAAAAAGACACTGCCAACATGGGTTGCCATACGTCCGGATTTCCCTGGAAATTTTAGCGATTTACACCCAGACACTGCTTCCGACTGCAGTATTCTGGCTACGTCTGGGAAATTCTGGATGAATGGCAACCCTACCATATAACTAACTATAGGGAGATTGCATCTCTCCTTCCCAGTGGAAGATCAGTGGGCCCCAGCCATCAGATCAATCACCTGCATAGAATTTGGCTCCCTCCCCTGTTAGAAATAAGAAGCAAGCAAGCAAGAACTTTTACAATAATTTGCAATGCTTTACCAGACCAGTTCAGAAAGAAAGCAGAGTTCCTGGGGTCAGTTTTAACACTTTCAAAATGGCTTCATTAAATCAGCCATTTTGGGCTGATTTAAGGCAAGGCAAACCTTGGAACAAGCTTCCCTGGATTATTCCATTGCGGGTAACAGCTGCATGATGAAGAGGAAGAAGTGTTAAAGCACTTACTGATTTGGACTGCACCGAGGGCTTCATTTTAGGATTTGGGCCTCGCATCTTCCCCATGTTCTTGCGTTTCTGTTGAGATACAAGTGGGAGGGGGCAGTGTTAGAAAGAGGGGGGGGGAGGAGTCAACATTTATTTATTTTATAAAATTTATAACATTTATTTATTTTCATAAAATTTATATACTGCTTGATTGTAAAAAAAGAAAGAACCCTCAAAGCAGTTTGCAAGAAGAAAAAACAATAAAATTATTGCTAAAAGTAATTAACAACAATTTAGAACTCTTAAAAAATTAAAATCAGCAATAAACAGATTAAAACATACGCCAATGTTCTTGGTATCTGGTAGGCTTGTCTAAACAAAAATGTTTTTAGCAGGTGCCAAATACAGTACAGTACAGTGAAAGTGCCTGCCTGATGTCAATAAGCAGGGAGTTCCAAAGTGTCGGTGCTGCCACACTAAAAGATTTCTATAAATGTAAAATGGGTTCATTATTATGTGGCACCCATGACAGCACCAGTGGCAAGGAAAACACTTGCATTCTTTTCAGCAAGCTAGTTATCTAACCTGCCCCTTCCCCAATCCTCCATTTCTAGCAAAAATCAAATGTGCCCCTGACAAACGATCTAGTTCTTGTGGCACTAGATTCTGAAGACTTGATGCCAAAAATGTTAAAACAAGCAGCAGGAGGAAAATACAAAGGCAACTTCAGCTTTTTCTACTCAAGAGTTCTTATAACATCCTGGGAATCTATCCTATTATTAAATCAAAATGTACCAATTAAATTAAATACCCTGTTTAATTCAGAGCAGCTTTCAAACAGTAACTGGTACACTTTTATCTGATGCACGTCCTGCTGGGATAGGTATCCCTTTTCAGTCAGAGGGCCACATTTCCTTCTGGGAATGCCACTGGTAGGAGGAGCCAGAGGCAAGTGGATAGAACAATCAATGTAATATTTACATTTGTACAGTAGGCAGGTTTCTATACTCGCATAACCATCTCCATCTTCCATACAGACAAAAATGAAGCTTTTTCTTGGGGAGGGGGGGACCAAAGGTTCCTCGTTTCTGACCTAACCAGAGTTACAGAACATGGAACCCTAGACTTCAGGCATGAAGAGATTCCCTTCCTTTCACTTCCAAGCTATACTGTATTTCAGAGGTCAAGTTGAAAAAATACCCCTGCCAGTCCCCTCCAAACACTTGCAAGACACTTACATTGGAGGTATGTTCCTTGTACACAGCTCTCTCCTGTGGTGACAAACTCTGCAGAGAAGACAGAAGGGGGAGGAGTGAGAAGCCAAGATTAAGCATGTTATGGAGGTGGTTCAAAACATGGGGAGTGGGAGAAGATGGATTGATTATAATCCCTACATAAAGCAACCAGATTATAATTACCACAGATGAATCATTCCTTGCCAGCACTTTAATATGACACCTCTTGCAAGCCCCTGGCTGTCCTTCAATGAGTTCTGCCCTATGAACAATTATTCCCATTTTACAGGCAGGGAATGGAGGGCTGAAAATGCTAAAAGCCTAAGGAGATGCTGTCAGGGTAGAGGAAGTTTGATTTGGGTTGCAGAGAAACAAAAACCTCAAACAAGGTATACGAACATGCGAGAGCGCTCTGTGTGGCAGGATGATCCATGAGGCCAGAGGACAGATGAGAGGTGGGGAAAGCTCACACAGTGTCTAGGACGCTTATGTTGCTGATAGGAACTGGGGATGAGCAGAATTTCATACAGATTGAAAGTCTTTGGTTGCAGAACAAGAGTCAAATGTCAATATGGCTTGACTTGGAAGGCTTCCACACGGATGCTTCACTGCTAACACTCTGATCTTCTCAAGGAGCTGCTACCTGTTCTTGTGCCTTCCCCCAACTGACAGCTCACCTTGAGCCACATATCCAGGTGTACTTTGTACTGTTTCTGCTGCTCTTCGGCCAACTTCTTGTACTGTTCCTTTTGGCTCTGAGAGATGCGCTGCCAGCGGCTTCCAATCTCCACCATCCGCTCCTTCAGAGGAAGATGGTTAAGTTCACCATTTGAAAGCAGCTCCTGAGAAAACTTCTGATACCCGTTCCTGGTGAGGACACAAAAGAGAGAAGTTACAGGTGAATGGGCAGGAGAAGAAAGACAGCAGGACTGATGGCAGGATCTACTGGAAAACTCAGTGATATAGGTTCACATGCATTGCTAAACCATGGTTTCAGAAGCAGAAAGGAGCAGCCGGAACCTCCCCACTGCCCTTAAGGGTTTCCAAACAAACTTTGGTTTGTTTGGAAACTTACCAATTTGTTTTACACTCTTATCGCCATTTCATGAGAAATGGTAAGTCAGATTTTGTGGGAAGTGGAATGCAGCTCTGCAAAATCCTCCTCCCGATCACACGGAAGGAGGGCAAAGGTATACTGAGACAAAGGCTTGTGGTGGTTCCTTCTTGCTCATGCACATAACCATGGTTGAGTACGATATGCAAACACAGTCACTCTCTCTGGATGCCACCCTGCTCTCCACAGGGAACAAACAGATCTTTTCAGTGGTAGCCACAGAACTCAAATGGCATCTCCTAGGAAGCTCAACTGTTTTTTTTCTCTTGGCTCCATTCAGAAACTTCACTTATCTTTAGGAGAATTAAGACTTTTTAGAAGTTATTCTATTGCTGCTGTTTGGTTTTGGTTCATCAGTTTTAATATGATCTTGGGCTTCCAGAAATGTTAATTGTGCTTCAGTTACGTATGGTGAACTTTTTATTTTATTTTATTTACAGTATTTATAGATTGCCTTTAAACCAATCAATTATCCACCTACTGAAGTTGACTTAACTTCAGGAAGGCCACTGATTCCTCACCACTGTGCGTTTGTAAGCCATAACCACAACTCAGAACACAAAACATATAAGCACACACATACAGTCCTGCTTTTCTTTTTTTAATTCAATGGCAATACTCACATGGGGGGTTTCTTCGGCTCACCCTGGAATTTCATCTTCTTGGAGGAATTTGTGGTGCATGGTGGCGCCCTCATCTCACTCAGTTCTCGCTGCAGAACAAAATAAAGAAGAAACAGAATTACAAAGCTGAGAAGCCTGGTCCAGCTCAATGAAAAGTGTCAGAAAAATTAAAAAGGCTGACCCGCCCTCCTATTTCATGCAGATGCCTAAGCCTTCAATGAGGCAAACATTGGACATTTGCTAGCTTTCCTCAACAACCCAGAAAACTACCTACCAAGAAAAGTATACAGAGCTTCAAGCTTGTATTTTAAGTATTAACCTCCTAGCCAGAGGTGGCAAGGAATTACATGCAGGGTAGGCAAACCAAGAAGAAATTGAGTGCCCTGCTCCTTCTCTGAGCCCAGTACAGAACCAAGCAGGCTGCTACAAAAAGAATGGAGTTTTCTGTCTCTCTTCTGCTAGCTCCTGGCAGGCTAGTAACTTCTTGTCTCATTTACAGGGCTGCAGAAATCTGGAGCAGAAACCAATGGCTCCCATCTCTGAGCTGTAAAACAGAGGAGCTGTGCATACAAGTTGCTAGAGAAAATTAATTAAAATTTAGAACTCTGGCAAGCCAGATTCTGAGCCAAGAAAAGACAAGAGAATGTATGTAATCTGTGTAATTATGCATAATCTTATTCCACCATTTCACTGGCAGGAAGCACAAGCCAGAATGGAGTTTTCTGTCTCTCTTCTGCTAGCTCCTGGCAGGCTAGTAAAGCATATCTCCATACAGTCAGAAACTGGCTGGTTTTTTGGAAGTTGATATTCTGTGCCCAGTACCACGCAGGATTGTTTTTCTGCATTCCTGTGGAAACTGTGCACACACACACACACACTTGATGCAGTGCAATCACACTGAAGTGAAAAATACTAGGTGGGGTGGGTGTTTTTTTTAAAAAGACTGACCAACCTCGTATCGTTTCTGATCTTCTGCTGCCTTCTTGATCCACATCAGTTTCTCCTTCTTCTCCATGTTGTTCCAGGTGGCTTCCATGGCTTTTAGTGCTTTCCCTCGGTCATTCTGAAACAGAAGGAAAGCTGCTACTATATACTATCATGGACTCCATAAAAGTGCAGAGCTCAGACAACTCCCCACTTTGAGCCCACCACTTCTATCCTAACTTCATGCCAGCTACCACCTGAAAAAGGCAGGTTGGTTAACCTGGTAACCCACGTTCTACACTGGTCATCTCATGAGTTCTGCAGCGTGCAAACCAGGGGCCAGAACTCATGCCCTTTCCCCACAAGGTAAGACTTGCACGCCTTTGGCTCATGCTACCATCCCTCAAATTACAGTTGATCAATTCAATGGCAATAATAACATCAGCCCTATTTACAGCCACAGTTCCCATTAGCACAGCTCATCTGATTTGACATTCTTCCTCCGGACACCCACCAGATGGGAGCTGCCCCTTGTTTATCTCCTTCTTGAGTCTCTGAAGTAAATTCCAAGCTGGACACCACCTCCTCACTCCTCTCCAAGACATGTTGTCAGTCAGCCCCCCCCCCTTCTGCAGACTCCTGCCTCTATTTTGGAGAAAGTCAAAGCTATACGACTCTCTGCTTTGTCACTCACATGTCTTGCTAATGACACACTGCAGGTCATTCCATTATGAAACTAGGCCTCTGCTGTCCCACTTTACCTTAAAGCGAGCAAGATAATCTCCAATGACACTCTGCTGCCAGATTTCTTCAGCTGTTTTCGGTGACTCGGGAAGTTTGCCGCGATCCTCCTTGTCGGAACCATGCTTCTTTTCTGTCTGAGCTTTCATGGCAGCCTCACGAGCTTTGTACTTGGCCTAGAAAACAACACGCATGGTCAAAATCTTTGCAAAACCCATTACTGATTGGTAAGAAACACAGAAAACCAGGCTGGCTGGGGGAAAAAAGTTAAGCACTGAAACTGTGTTTTGGAGTGTGTGGCTTAATGATGCAGTGGTTCTCCCCCACGTCTGTGACACAGATTTTGAGGAAGAAAGCTGTTAAACCGGAGGAACAGCAGGTTTTAAACCAAAGCAGAATAATCAGTTATGGGCCAATCTATTAGCTTCTGGACACAAATTAAGGTGGTTAAAAAACTCTGAACAGCCTTGTGACCTGCACTTGCAGGAGGACAGCAGGAGCTCAATTTATGTGAGACCCACTATAAGCCTGACCCAGCACTTTCGAAAAACATATACAGTAGAACAAAACATTGTATGTGTGTCCTCTTGAAAGACACCTGTATTTTATTTTTTTTGTTCTGCATGAGTTGCAGGTTTTCTTGTAAGGAAGTTTCTCTGTTAGTACATTAAAAACATGGCTAACAAGCTATCTAACTGCTTTTATGAACTGCAACCAAATTTCTGCTATTTAATTATTTACAAGATAAAAACAAACATTGCACTTTTGTTGTACCATAAGGTCATTTATCATTTTTTCTTTCCCCCATTAAAATCAGTTATTCTTCACAGCTTTCACCCAAAAAACATCTTTCTGCCTTTAAAATTATCTCTTTTTTATAATGTGGGAGATGCAGTAAAATCAGCACAGAAACTAATATTTTTAAAGTGCTAAATTCAAGGAGTCTTGTGGATGTATACCTCTTTCTGTGCACAGATGTAATCTTAAAGACAGACATTATTAGAGCTGAAGATTTGAAGCTACACTCCCTAGAGCAGGTTTGACTAAGCTGTGGCACTCCAGATGTTGCTGGAATGGAACTCCCATTGGCCCCAGCTAGCATGGTCAATGGAAGGTCTAGTCCAGAAATAGCTGGAAGGCCAAAGGTTAATGACTCTGGCTTTAGAGCTTCAGGTCTCTCACTCCTGAATGTGCCATTCCAGTACTAGAAAACAGCTGCAGTGAGGTTTGAACATGTCAAGTATGGGCCTGGTACAGATTCAGGATAATGAAAAACAAAGCAACACAGATAAACTTTATGTATCTTTATGCAGATTAACAATATGAAAATAAGCTATACCCTGTAGTTTCAATGACAAATTTCGGTAGACAGTGCCAACTAGGAACATAAGGTTGGAGCAATCACAACTGAGGTACCCAATGATACAAATGTTCACCCAGGTTTTATGCATTTTTCTAGGCCTCAAGGTTACACCAACTCTCAGCCTAAGCTACCTCACAAGGTTGTTGTGAGAAAAATATGGAAAGGTGAAGAGCCATGTATGTCACCTTGAGGCCCTTGGAAGAAAGGTAGACTATAAATGCAATAAATAATAATAATAATAATAATAATAATAATAATAATAATAATAATTTATTATTTATACCCCGCCCATCTGGCTGGGCCTCCCCAGCCACTCTGGGCAGCTTCCATAAAAACCAAAAATACAATAAAATCACACGTTAATAAAGGAATAAAACAAAGCAAATAAACCCAAATACATGATGTAATGCTATTCATGAAGGAAGGTGAACCACCACCCCTGCTTTTTATTGGATTTTTGATTGGCTGCAAATCTGTGGTGACATTCTTTGGCATGTGGGTGGATGCTGCTCCGGCGTCCCACATGTTATGCCCACCACAGGAAAGTACTGCTTGATATCTAGTCATCTGTCACCACCCAAAGTTAGCCTTTTAAGGCATATACACAGCAACAACAAACCCCATCTCCCAAGTGCAACTACTTTCCCTGTCCACCAATGACCCATATTAAGGTGTCCAGCTAACTCCCACAAGGATCCCAAGACCCTCTTTCTCAGGCATCTAAACCAAGCCTCAAGACCTCTCCCATTTGACTCCATGTGTATTCACAGCTGTACTGGGAGGCAAATAGTACAAAAGAATGCAAAATGGGTTTTTTTTTTATTGCACCCACTCTCACACTAAGGGAACGCACTGACAGAGTCTGGCTCCTTCCCCCTTCCCAAGCTGGTGAAAAAAAATGAGCAGAGGTAACGCAAGATGGAATGGTAGGAGCGCCCAGACTGTTAACAGAGCTGCTTGGTGGCTTCTAGAGGGAACCGAAGGCTCGGGAATGTTCAGAACCTTCTGTGGGGTTTCTAGCAGATTTTGTTTCCTCTTCTTTCTTTTTTTTTAAGGGTGAGGGAGTGGGTCAAGATCCTGGTTTCATCCAAGTCAGGGGTAGTCAATGTGGTGCCCTCCAGATGTTGTCAGACTACCACTCCCATCATCCCTAACCCTTGGCCATGCTGGTTGGGGCTGATGGGAACTGGGAGTCCAGGAACAAAAGAAAGGCGTCACGATGGCTACCTCTGATCTAAGTCAACAGGGGGGGAAAACCATCCAGCTGACTTTTTGAGATACCCAGGAGTACATGTTCCCCCACACCTTCCCCCAAAAAGATGGTTAAGGAGAATGTGCATTATTGATTCAACAACCTTTTTTTTCTCTGAAAGATCATTCCACATCCGCGCCAGCAGCCGGGTCAGTTCGCTCTCCGACAGTTCGGGTCGCTCCTCCTGCAGCTGCTTGCGTTTCTCCTCCGAGAAGATAAACATAGCAGAAACGGGCCGTTTGGGTTTCTCAGAACCTCCCTGTTAAAGAGCACAAAGGGACTCGTGGTTGTGGAATTTTGAGTTTGTATCTTTTGTTCTTTTTAAAAAGAGTTATGGAAAAAAGCAAATAATAATAAAAAGAGCAAAAACTGGGGAAGGTGGCCTTATTTTATGGGCTGCAAAGTATTCCTAGTAGATCAGCCAGCTAACACTTTAGTTGATTAATCAATGGGGGGAGGCAATTTTTACCAGCAAGATCAATTTTTAATTGGTGGAACTGCAAGTTAAAAGCATGTTTATCTTTTGAGGCTGTTTTGGTTCAGGTGCATTATTGTAATGAACAAAGGGAATGGGAAAGAAATAAAAAACGTGAAGATGGGTGTTTATATACAACAATGAGAATGGTAACTTATTATTTTACGGTCAATTATCTAGCACTTCCTTCAGTATCTGACAAATATTGGACTTTTGGTCATAAGCAAATTTATTTTAATCAGATTAATCAGTTACTTGAACATAAGGCAGATGATTAAATCAATGAAATATTCTTTAAACCTGCTGACAGTTCTACTTATTATATACATATAGGGAGATAGCCAACATTAATTGTACTCTGGAGTAGACCCATTAAAATCAATATACTTAAAAGTCATTTCAGTCAATTTGATTTCAGTGGGCCCATCCCTAGTATGACTAATGTTGGATACCACAAACACATAAGGAAACCTTCAAGAGGGATTAGTTTTTGTTCTCATTTTTACTATCAAATTTCCAAAGGAATCCCAGCAGCCATTTTACATGAAGTCTTGAGGCTGGTTTAAAAGTAGATTTGCTCCACTGCTCTAAATGTAAAAAATGTATCCATACCCACAACGCATCCTGCTTGTTGCCCTAGCCTGTATGCGTCACTCACCTTGCTGGCATCTGGTGAAGTCTTTTTAGAGGCAGGGCTAGTGGCACCTTTCTTGTTTACTCCCAGCATCTTCTCCTCTCCCAGAACCCTCTGCTGTTCTTCTTCAGGTAAGCTCTGAATTTTGGAGGAAATGGCAAAATAACAAAATAAGGAGTTATGACTATTTTTCATTCTCTCTCTGCCTTTCCCCATATATCTAGTAGATTAATGTATACATAGTTTGGAAGCATCTTCAGGTAGTGCAGAACGTGGCTGCCCACTTTCACCCAAGCAGCTTAAGATTTCCAGGAAATTAAGTCAGCAGCCTAGCATGGGCATTGGCTGCTTCATTCTCCTCCCCCCCCCAAAAAATGTACTAGGAAGCTGCCTCTGAAAACCAACTGGCAGCTTAGTTCTCACAAAATGCATTATTCATTCTAGTGCAGAGAGAGACTTACAGACTATTCTAAAACAACTGTGCTGGCTATCAATTTGAAAGTCTAAGTGACCTGGGATCACAAGCATTTGAAGTCAGTGGCTTAATTCAGACATCATAAAGAAGTACTGTTAAATTAAGTTAACAGTTTTGGGTTGGTACACCGTAAGTAAGGAAGCAACTCTAAACCACTGTTTAGATTTTAAATTGTTGTTAATGCAAACAGTGGTTTGGGGAAATGTTGAATGGAGACCGCTTCTCCTTTTATGAACCAATCCCGCTTCCACCAATTGACCAGCAATGGGGCATTCAGTCCTCTCAATGCAAGAGGCAATATATGATATGGAATGGAGCATGGCCTTCTGGGTTGAGACTTCATCACTACGGACTGCGTGACCCTGATCTTTCAGATTTAGATAAAAAAAGTTTACACAGAGGAACCTAAGACCAGTCCAAGTCAAATATTTCAAGGTCGAATAGGAGAGAGTTTAGTGGACACTGAAACCAATGAGATTTAAAAGTGCTTAACCAACTGGAATTGCACCCCACTGTCTTTTTAGACAAGGCTTTTAAAACAGTTATCAAGAACTGCAGAGTACACAGAAAGGCACTGCTATATGCTCACCCAGAATATGACTCTTCTTAATGCTCCCAGTCCCAATCACTCATACCAAAGTCCATTTTCTTAGCTGGTCCAAGCTGTATGTGTGAATGGGAAGGGTAACAGAAAATAGCTGCTAAAAAACTTAGTAACAGAGTTTGGCAGAATGCTGTGGCAGACTCACCTCCAGGAAACGCAAGAGCTCAATTTCATAATCTTTCTTTCTCTATAGGGGCAAAGTAGCAAAAAAGAGTCAGTTCCTGGTACATGCCATGAATTTTGCCTCCTTCTGCTTCCCCTCCAGAGCTGCACCCTCCTCCAAACATCTGACTCCTGCCAATGCAGGTTTCTAAACATCAATATAGATATTTGGAATCAGAACCCTAATAGCCAGCATAAGTCAAGATGACTTAATGAATAACTTTGAGAAACACTGCTGTACCATTGGGGCCAGCAACTGGCAACCCAGAGCCAAACTCAGCCCACTGAGTGGTCCCTACGTGCCAAAGATGCTAAGATGACTGTAGTGTCTGGGACAACAGGACTTGGCAGAAGGGAGTAAGTGGTAGAGATGAACCTTAAAAACTGGCTTTCTGGCAAAGCAAATTGCTATCCAGGGGCAATGATGTTTTATTACTGATAGATATAGGGGTGTGTGTGCATGTTAAGTTAGAGACACAGGACAGTGTTTCAGGGCTGTATGTGAATTCCTTAAATGGGAACATGGGCCCAAGGGAAAGGGATTCAACAGCAGATGTAATTTGAGCAGCTGCTGGAAATGGAAGGAAAGCAAAGCATTCTGGACACTTTAAACACCGTGATTCTCAAAGGGTGTGGAGCTCTACACTGGTGTGGCAGGAGAGGACAATGGCAGGAAGATTCAAGGACACTAAAAAAAAATATTTAAACATTTCAGTGTACAGTAGTATAGTATAAGAATGTTTATTTGCAAAATATGGATAGCTATCTTTTCAAAATGAGAGCAAGAGCATCAAGTGTGTGGGAATGATTCATGTTAGCTGATTTTTTAAATATATTTTCTGGATGTCCCATGATCATATTATAAAGTAGTTGTGTTCTACGTTATAAATCTGCTAGTTGTTTCTTTTTGTTTACCAGTGTATTTCCTATCAATTAAAAAATTGGTGTGGCATGAGCAATTTTTTATTCTGAAAGTGTGGCTCCACCATTTGCAGCTACTTCCTGGGAGTAGGAGGTGCTTCCAATGCCATTTCAGGTTCATTACAAGAGCAGGGACATTTTCAACCTGCAACAGCAATGCTATTGCAAAATGGGAGAACGAACCAATACTCTGATGAGAGGAGGCTAATTGGGGACATTGTAAATAGGACCTGGTAAGGGAGTTGGAAGATGACATTTAACATCAATGGCCTTGCCTTTTGAAAGCAAACTATTCTGGCCTCTGTATTGTGTGTATTTTAAAGTATCCTTTAGGCTATTCAGTTTGGTATTTATTGAGATAAAATTGTATTGATTATCACCTGCTTCTGTTTTTATTGTACCTGCTTTTGTCTTTTTATCTGGTTCATAGCTGCATCTAAAGGATGCTTTTGAGCAGCTCTTGAAATCAGGGGTGATATGGGGCAGGGGGTGGTATGACAATTAATGGATAGGACAATTTATGGGGAAGGGCAAGGGGTAATAGAGAACAACAGTTTTCTTTTGCCTTAGTGTCACTTGTAATAATTTCAGCGGTCCATCAGGGTGCTGCTTTTAAAATGCTAGTTCAGTTAATGGAAAAAACTACCCCCCTTTGGAGCTTCTGGATCCTGATGTTTTCTCAATGTCTCTGGGAAATTTTCCTACTGATGTTGCTGGTGGTCTGGTCAATGCTGTGGTCTTTCTCCAATTAAGTGGAGATGACCCAGGTAATTGATACGGTTGCTTCTAGATGCCCCCGCTCAAACCACATATCTCATTCAGTTCCCTGGAAAATCTACATGCAATAAACATAAAGAGTTTAAAAGTCATAAAGAATATTTGGGTGTCAGAGGTGGCTACTGCTTCTCTGAAGAGTGTGAGGTGCCCATACGGCCCTAAAGCAAACAGTGGTTCATCTATTCTTAACCAAACCTGAGAAGGATCCTGGCAATTTAAATAATTGGTACCCAGGTGCTTAGGCATTAAATGTGCCATTTTTAGGAGAGGTGTTAAAAACATGAGGTGACCTAAAAACTTCATATGGTTTTGGATGAAAGTGGTTACTTGGATCCATTCCAGTCTGAGTTCTAGGCCTGGTTTTGAGACTGAAAACCACCTTGGTCACCCAGGTGGATGGCCTCATGGGTATGAGGGCAACCTTGTTGATTCTCCATAAATTCTTGATCACCTTTGATGCTATCAACAATTAAATTTTTATGGGCCCCCTTTATAGGACCAGAAGGCACTGCTTTACTGCAGTTCTAGTCTTGCCTGGAGAAAGGCTTGTCAAAAGGTAGTGTTGGGAAACTACTGGTCCCTCTGGGCCTTTGGCTTATGAGGTGCCACAGAGATCTCACAAGTTATCAACATTAAACCACTGAGTGAGGTCATCCATTGGCTTGGGCTGAAGTGTTCACATTATGCAGATCACCCAGTCCTTTTATTGCCATCCTCTGATCCTAAGGAGATGCAGAATTTCTGTACCAGAGTTTGAAGGCAGCCCCAATTTAGATGAGGGTTGGAAAAGCTGAACCTTAATCCAAACAAGACAGAAGTACTGGTCGGGAAGTTTGTTGATCTGGGCAGAGGCTATGTCATCTTTTGGATTGGGTTGCACTCCCACAACTTAAGATACCCTTATGGACCAAGTACACAACCTGCAAGTGCTTCTGAGTCCAGCATTATCCTTGCGTTGGCTGATGTTGGTAGGCGGTAGCGCTTTTCACCAGCTACAGACCTACCTGGGTAAAGTGGGTCTGGCTTCAATTATCAATGTTTTAGTCACATTCAGCCTGGATTATTGCCATGATCTCTACATGGGGCTAACCTCAAAAGAAAATTCAGAAACTACAATCGGACCATACCACACCTATCCTACAACAACTGCATTGGTTATCAATTCATTCCCAGATTCAAGTTTAAATACTGGTAATAACCTTCAAAGCCCTAAACTGCCTGGAACCCATGTTACTCTGAGGACTGCCTTCACCCACATGAACCTGCCCAGGCTTTAAGATCAGCAACAGTAGTCCTGCTCTCCAGCCCATCACGAGCAAATATCAGATTGACAAGTAGCAGGAACAGGGGCTTCTCAATGGCACAGTTGTGGAATTCTCTCCCCAAAGAAGTTGGACGAGCTCCTTCCCTTTTGGTTGGTGCTTCTGGAAGGAAGGAAGCTTTCATTCATCAGTTTTTACAGTGCTTTTGCTGATTTTTAATACTGTTGTGTATTTTTACTGCTTTATCTGATTTTTATTTTTACTGTACTATACTATATTTTTGTTTAGTATATGTGCTGCCGAAGCAAGCACTACTATATTCTTGTTTTACAATATGTTTATTTCAATGTAAAGCTGCTCTGGAATATTGTCCACTGAATGTCAAACAAAGGGATGGTTCAGATTCAAATGTAGGTTAAAATTGTCCCTGGAAAGCAATGTGAATGGGGAGGGGGAAGGGAAGAGGACGACACAGGCAAGAACTCAAGGGAAGAAATCCTAGATTTGTTCCCCTCACCTAATGAAGGAGTATTAGTTGGAGGGTCAGAAAGTAAATTATTCAGTCAGCATACCCACATGCATACGTGTAAAAAACTGCTTTCTCTACAAACTAGGGAAGGTCAAACCACACATTCTTCATGTATCATTTCTGAGTTCAAAAGATACAAGACAGTTTCACATTGATAGGAAAGTACTGATTATCAGTAGCCCAACTAGAGGAAATCCTTTCCAGGCACAGAAACCACCTTAAGGGGATTTCTGTTGTCATCTATGGGTCACGCCCTTGAGTAGTAGTAGTAGTAATAATAATAATAATAATAATAATAATTTATTATTTGTAGCCCGCCCATCTGGCTGGGTTTCCCCAGCCACTCTGGGCGGCTTCCATACAAACCAAAAAACACTAAAATATCATACATTAAAAACTTCCCTGAACAGGGCTGCCTTAACATGTCTTCTGAATGTCAGGTAGTTGTTTATCGTTTTGACATCTGGTGGGAGGGCGTTCCACAGGGCGGGCGCCACTACCGAGAAGGCCCTCTGCCTGGTTCCCTGTAGTAGTAGTCTTATTCATACAAATGCTAAAAGGGTCTGAGGAATCCGCCAGATTCCTTTGATGATGGTAGAGGATTGCAACCCCTAGAGAAGGAGCGGAGGAAGAGAGACAATTTTTTCAAATGGCAGCCTCTCCCCCAGGGCTCAGCTTCACAGATGCACAACAGGCTTCTTAACCCTTTTCCAAAGATCAAGACGAAGCAACTCTGCCATTTTGAACAAGGACTGGGGGACTGGGACTCAAGAGGGAAATGGGGTCCTGCCGCCTGTGGGATATAACCACCTCAGAAAAGGCCCTAGTTAAAGCAGCCAAAAAAGCAGGAGAATCCGCCATTATCTCACACTGTCACTGCTGAGGAGAGCCGAGCTACTTAAAATGGCCGCCACAGTTTCAAGTAGTAAGGAACAGGCAGCAGCAGGCCCAAAGCCTGGACTATCGATAGAACCACTGTAACTGTCATATTAAAAATTTGAGGGGATTTTTGTGTGTCAGGAGAAGAGCAAGAAGTCTCCAAGTCTGGAGGTTTAGCGCTGGTACAGCTGGATAAAGCACAGGGAATTCTCCTCAACATTTGGCTCCGGAAAAAGCCCTCTCGTCCTCAACACCCTCCATCACATGCCTTAGCTTTCCCCCTCTCCAGACTCAAGAGCGGGCAATCTTTTCTGCCACCTAGCAAAGCTTGTTTGCTTGCCACGGATGCATCTCGGGTTGGAGGGAATTTTAAACAAGCGCAGCTACCAATGATTTAAACAGCAACTCATCAAGGCTGAGGGGAAATTGATTCTGAGGCAATTCGCGGTTGATAAATGCATTAGATCAATCAATGCCAGAAAACAATTAACAGAGACAATCAATTAATCCCCGATAAATGGGAAACTTATGTAAACTGCCCTGAGTTGAGCCAGACTTTGGGTTTGTTTGTTTGTTTGTTTGTTTGTTTGTTGCTTCCCCACACCCCAGCAAAAAACAACAACCCCGATCTTCATTTCAGGACTACAATTTAGGGCAGGGGTGGATTGATTTTCTTCCTGCCATTGTTAAGCTAGAAATTCCTGCCGATCTACTTCAAGCAACTCAGTAGCTCTCGATCTACCTTCTGACCAGCACTGAATTAAGCAACTGGACTCCCCTTCCCTCTCCAAATATTTCAGCCTCTGAGAGGAGCCAGAGCTCTAGGGAAAAAACCTCTGCTGCTGTGGAGCAGGCAGGACTGCAACCGGGTGGGGCTTCCTCCCACAGGAAGGAGGAAAAACTGCAAGGGCCGACATGGCCGTGCCTGACCAAACAGGCAGGAGGAGCAACCCATATAAAGAAAAGTCTCCTCCACCGTTGAAGGGCATTTTTACTCTCCAAATTTCAGGGGTCTTCTGCTTGTTTGCAGAATTCATGGGAGTTTTGCTTCTCCACATCCACTTCACACAGGGCCTGGGCTTGAGGATGGATGGCAGACTGCATCCCCCTGCAAGTTACTAGAAAGCACCACCATTTAAAACAAACAAACAAAAACAGGGAAGAAAAGCAGTCTGAATAAGACTGCAATTTCAGCCAAGTTATCTGAGGCAAGAGGAGTGGCAGTGACCAACTGATTTGCTTTTTTTAAAAAAAACCCCGAAAAACCCCAACCCATCACTTGCCCGTCCATGTGCTTGTTTTGATTTTCATACTCTGTTCAAACACTGGGGAAGATAGCATTTTGCTCGCACCCAGCAAATCAGAGAAACCAAATCTGTGGGTGGCTTAAAAAAACAAAACTGCACCCCCAAACTGAGGCAAATTAAATCCATTATCAGCAGCAGGGTATGTAGTAACAGCTGGAACCTGCCTGATATATAGAACCACTAAAGTCTACCCATAATTTGTCTCTGGGCATTATTTTTCATCCTTTCCCTTTTTCGACACACCCTTATAAGGGCCAGGCTCACCTGATCACACTTTTTGTGGTAGGCGTCTTTTTCCTTCTGGGAAAGGAGCTTCCACTGCTGACTGCAGAGCACCATCCGTTCTGTGCTTGGGACATCTTTCATGTTTGCCATCAGTTCAGCACAGTAAAGCGAGTAACTATTCCTAAAACAGCAATTTCCTTTTATATAGCACCAACCCATTAAGTTAGCACTTGGGGAAATTTATGTAAACATAAGAATACGTCACACAAAACTGCTGCCTGAAGTGCTTCTCCCACAATCTCATAACCCACCACCACCACACATATTTTTTTTGGAGGGGGTGTCTTAATTTCCACCTCCAACCCTTACTATGAATGCAATAATGTGGATTATATGAATAAATAGGAGTATATGTCATTGGCTTTCGCATGGGTTCAGTGGTGTCTACTGTACAAAGGTTAAGAGTCACATCTATTATGCTACCCACTTTTGCCTCACAGGTTCCTCATCCTGATTTTGATTTCTAGGTCTTATTCATGATGTTGGATTTTGAGCTCTAAAGCCTTTATTCTTATTATTGTCTTGGGATTAAGATATGTAAGGACGTAATCAACAGAGAGAAAATACCCTCCTAAACTTCCCTCAGGCCCACGCCTAGGGTTTCCCCCCTTTTTGTTACTCTGGACCTTCTCCCCCAGCCAATTCCCAAGGCAGTCTTGGTCGTAAGTACACAAAGGTTACTAGCCAAATAAAATGTCACAGCCCTCTTAAACATGGGTGTCGTGAAAGGAAGTGGTTGGGTGAGGAACACACACTGCTTCCAGTTTATGAAGTTTCCTGGTTTTGCCGGACAAATAGGTTTTTTCAGCTCTTTCAGAATGCTTTTTTAATTCTCTCCCCATAACCTGGCTTTCTGCTGCAGGGGTGCAGTTTGTAAAAAAACAACTAACCCCGTCTACTTGAAAGTAAGTCCTATAGAATTCAGTGGGGCTTACTCCCACATTAAATGGGATTAGGAATGCACCCCCAAATCAACAGATTAAATCTGCATAAATGTCCATAAACAGGAAAACAAGGATGGGAACCCTACTGTTTTCTTTTTTAAAATTAATTGATATGTGTCATAGCAGGCACCATCTTAGAAAAGGCACCCCTCCTGTTAAAGAGAAGTCTCCCCTGAGATGGCACCTGCCACTTACTGCTTTTCTATGTACCTGCATTAAAATAAGCGCTTATTTTTTAAAAAGAAGCTTAATCTGCTACCCAATTAAAATCAGGGTATTTTCTGCAGTCAGCCAAAAATGTTTGAAGACTTAACCTTAAATAAAAATCACTCCATGTAAAAAACCTAAGACTTCAGAGCAGGATTCTAGCCTTGCCTTCTCATTAACATTTTCTAAAGGTAATTTTCTTCCAAGGCATGGTCTGAAGGTAGATGATGCGGACACCTTGCTGAAGGAGGTGTGGGGCAGGTCATTGCCTGGATGAGAGACTGAAATGGGAACTCCTTGTATCCTCCTTTGAGTTCCATGATGGAAGGAAAGTTAGATATAAATGTACCAAGCAAAAAAAAATTTGTATGGTTTTTAAAAAATAAAAATGGAAGAGTGTTCAATCAAGTAAGGAGCAGCCTGCAGCTTAAGAGAAATGAGCAAGTCAGCTTATACAGTTCAAGCTGCTAGAGTTCTCTTGGCACAGAATTTTAGTATCTTTTTAGTACAACCCTGAACATGAGAAAACTCTGTGGCCTTGATCAAGAACCCCAGGTTTCTAGAGAAAAAGTTAAGTCAATGGATTTATTTATTTGATATCAGGATTCATACTCCCAACCCTTACACACCACTTGGCGCGGCTTCCAACTATAAAAAATGACTAGAAAATACAATAGATATTGTGTGGAACTACAACATAAATGACATCCATTTAATACTTGACACTCTGGCAGGAAATCAAGAGAAAACCACCAATGCAAAGATATCTGAATTGGCTTTTGCATCAGGGTTTCAGGGAGCCTCCTCTGCACGGAGGCTGTGGATCGCAGGAAAATATTTCCAGAGGAGAGTGAAGCAGTGGGGTGGATTCAAGAGGTGAACAGCAGCCCAAGTACAAAAATGGTGGGCAACTGTGTTTTCCTAGCACATGACTCAGGAGGAGGGGACAACCCCCTTGCCAGCAGAAGCACCTAACACCTACTGGAAGCAAAGGCTTCCCCATGAGGAAAGGCCTACTCCTCGGTATGAGGATGGGTAGCAGATCAGGAAAAAACACACAACCCAAGAGAGCTGTATGAAGGGAGATCCTGAAGAGGAACTCCTCAGCTAATCTCACAGGAAGGCCGCAAGTGATGGTGGTCATGGAGAAGTGTGGGGACTTGTCAATCTCCTTCCGATACCCTGAGCAACCAGCTGAGGTAGGCTGAAAGGAGTCCTACCAGGGTGTGTTTATGCGCACATGTGAGATGCACCACTCCCATCTCAATATCAAACGTCAGGCAGGGACTCAAGGAAGCTGCCAATAGAAAGACTCCCTTCATCAAGTGAGGAGAGCATGGACACAAGGAGAAGTGAGTGTCCAGTCTTGGGTAACTCAATAAATTTGTATCTCGTCTTCATTTAAGGAGCCAAGATAGCATGTGTCCCACCCCCATTTTAGCCTCACAGGAGTCCTGCGAAGAAGATTTTAAGTTTGCAGTGACTGGCCCATGCGCTGTGAGCTTCACGTCTGAGCAGGGCTTTGAACCTGCGTCCATCCCACTCTTAAGTCTAACGCATGGGCATCTTCCCACAACAAGCAGACATTGGGTGGATGGCAGATGTCGCCCTCCCACCTGGGTATATTTTTATTGGCATATAGTTCCAGCCCAATATGAATTACATTTACCAATGTGGAAATGCCCGAGTGCCCTCGCAACTCCTCCCCAACTACCAAACCCAATTCTCAAGGGCACGGCAACTTACGGAGGCGGCTTGGTGGGTCGCCCATCAAACTTGTCCTTCAGCTGCCTCTCCGCTTTAGTCAGGGTGGAACGAGGGGGCGCACCTTCCTCGAAGTTCATCTCTGGGTGCTTCTGGATATAATCCCGCATCACTTCCTGTGGGCAGAAAACACACGGGGCGTTTAGCGTGGCAGAGGCAGGCTGGTAGAATACCCTCCCTAGGCTCTGGGGTTGTGGACAGGGCAGGAGGGGGGCCCCGCCTGTGCTACCCTGACCAGTTTTAAACACTTGGCAGAAGAAGCAGAGGAGGAGTTGCTTTGCAACTCTCTTCCGAGGGAGCGATGCCCAGAAGTCGGCTCTCGGAGCGCGGCTGGGTTTCTACAGCTGCGACAAGGCCGGGCTGAGCACAGGGGGGAGAAGATGGAGGGGAACTGTTGAGTGTTCCCTACCTCATACTCCTTCCGCTGCTCCAGAGCCTTATGAATCCATTTCAGCCTTTTTTTGTCCGAGAGCTGAGACCATTGCTTGCCCAACGAATCCTTCAGCTCCTTCGTGGTGGCCTGAAAAACCCAGGTGAGGAAGGGGAAATAATAATAGTAATAAAAAAATAGGTAAAAATGAAAAAATAGGGGAGGAAGCAAAAGGGGATGGACTGCCCACCCTAATGGTACGGCAGTGAGCTAAGCTACACTTTTGGAAAGGCAAGTTAGAAAAAAAAAAGTTTTCCTCAGGCTCCTTTAAAGGGAGCGAAAAAGCCCAATACACAGGAAATATATAAACCCGCAATCTATGGGTTTGCTTACTTGCTACATAAAAACCTGATATCTAGCATCAAACAAGGCAACCTGAGAACCTTAAATGTTTATTTTTAAATACTAAGAATATTTCTAGCCCTCATGGGCCATAGGTCTCATGTCCTTTTCCTCACTCTATTCCTGTTTCTGACCCAGAGGACCAAATATCCAGATATGAATTACAGCAGCAGAGAATACAAAGCTAAACAAACCGCATGCAAACTTTACATACAAACACTAAGGACTGGATCAGATTTATTTAGCCTAGCTGTCTCCAATATCAGCCCCTCTAGATGCCTGCAGGCAAGCTGGAGAATGAGATTTCCTGTTTGTCCTCAAGCCACTGGCATTGGTGGTGTTTTGTCTCTGGCAACCCACTCTACTACTAATATTATCTACAGAACTGCCTACAATTCTTTCAAAGCCATTTATGTCTATCAATCATCGCCAACACTCTGTGGCAGTGAGTTTCACAGTTTATTTTCCCGTGATGTAAAACTGGATCACCCTAAATTCTTAACGGATCAGTTTCCTAAGCCTTTGTTTCATTAGAAAGGGGCTCCTCCATTTTCCTGATCATTTCACTTGCTATTTCCCCCCATCACTTCTCTAGCTCTCTCAGGAACAGGTAACACCAGCTTTCCTCAAACCTGGATGCTTTGGACTACAGCTCCTATCAGCCCAAGCCACCACAGCCAAGCTGGTGGGGGCTGATGGGAGCTGCATCCAAAGCACCTAGAGGGCATCACCTTGGGAACTGCATTATATACTCAGCAGAATCAAGAGGCAAAGCTTTTTCTAGATTTCCAATAGGGGGAGGGATTGCATATTTGAAAACTTCCTCCTCCATTGTTGTTGTTGTTATTTTAATATCCCTTCATGTAGGAAAACAGCATTGCTTACAATGAACATTTCCTTCTAACATGTGGGTTGTGTGAAATGAAGGTCTAAAAAATAAAATTCAAAATATGATATCCCATCGGCGGCCCAAACAGACAAGTCTTTTGCCACTTGTTTCTGCTCCAGCTGTAAAGTGGTACTAACACAGTGGAGTACCCAGAAATAAAATTAAGTCTGTGTATCAGTCTAAGAGCAAAATCTGGATTTACTGGGTACAGAATGCATATCCTTCCTTACATTCCTTCATTGCCCTCCTTTTCAGGAACACAGCTGTGTGTCATCGTTCTCCCCTCCTCCCCCAAATCCCCACCCAGTTTCCCTCCTTCTCGTGGGCTCTCCTTATGCAAGTCTCTTATACCACCTACTTACATCAGGGCGCACTTTCAGGTAGATCTTCTTCTCATGAGTGTACCAGAGCTGTTGAGGAGTCTTGGGTTTCTCTGGGATATCAGACTTCTTGGCATTTTGAATGAGGTCGGGGTGGTCTTCCCTTCACAGAGCAAAAGTAACAGGGGGTGGGGGCAAAATGGTAAGGCAGTGGCAGTACCAGAACCATACGAAACACAGAAACACATTATCCACTTCCTTTAAAGCCCCATGCATCATTCCCACCTCATCCCCACAAATACTGAAAGAAGCCGCTAATTTGATTCAGGCTCTTCTCATAAGAAGGTACCCTTTCAGATGGAAATTATTCTACCTGCCTGAAGAATATATTCATTTGTGAATTTTGCCATTTGTTGACCCAGGTTTCCAGACAGAAAAGAAAAGAGGTTCCTACATTGCAGATTATGCACCTTTTTAGTCCCTTATCACCAAAACAAAGCAGCTTTTTGCAGCAAAGTTAACGTAAGTAAATTTTGGCACATGTCTACTACTGAAATCCACAGCCACACTTGATGTGCAAAAGGTGAAGCTATTGCTTAGATAACTCTTACCTAAATCTTGCCAAATTTCGCTGAAAATCTTGTTTCTCTCGCTGGAAGTCTTGGATGTACTTCATCTAGAAGACAAACAAAAAAAGGGGGGGGAGGTGTTGACTACAGGTGAGACAGGAAAAGCTGACAAGTTTCCAGGAACAGCCACAACTAAAGCACTCCTAATACATGAAGCAGGAGGGGGCAGAACTGTGCAGCTCTTTAGGCCCTCCTCCATTCCTTGAGACCACCTCCTTCCTGCTACTTTTAGAAGCCTAGACCCTCAGCAAGCCAAGGAAACACAACAAAGCCCTGTGGCATCTGCTAGTCTCTGGGAGCGGCATGAGCAGGCAAGTAGTGGCATGAGGGTTAAACAGGCAGATGAACTGCCATCTTTGGGGAAACTGTTGCATGCTCTCAAGCCCCTCAGGAGACTAGGAGGGGGTGGAGAAAGCGAACACAACCATTCACACAGACAGACACGCCTCTTGCTCTCTCTCTCTGGCCTCCATAGTGGAGAAGACGCCTCACATCAGGGATGGGGTGCCTCATGGGCAACCTTCCAGAGGCCACATGCAAGTGTTGGGCTGGGCCAAAAGCAAAAGCGGGCGGGTCTGTGGCTGTGACTCTTGCCTTGCAGTCGTGCAGAAGTCAAGAGGTTTCTACATACAATGCACACACCCCTCTCTCCATCCAGGCAAGCAAAGAGGCACTATCGCAGCTCTAGGCCATAAGTCAGCCAGGCAAGAGCATGTGTGCAAGGGTGCAATAGGAGCAGGGCCAGGGAAGGATGTGGCCTGGGGGAAAAGGGGCTGCCTACAGAGTGGCCCGAGGGCTCGATAAAGAGGAGGCACGAAGCCCGCCTCAGGGCCAGATGTTCCTGCACCATTCCCTGCCATACACCATTCAAGGCTGGGAAACTGGAAGGTGCCAACAGGTAATATGGCACCTAGGAACCCATTTTTGCTAAAAGAAACATCAAGCAGTACATGTGCTGCCTAAGCTAAAAACAGACACTTCAACCTCCCAATTAACCCGCCTTGTATATGTAAAAACACAAGGTGGCATTCTGCAATAGCCCCATTCAGAGCTGACCTCTTGAAGTTAATGGACATGACTAACTTTGGGATCATTTATTGCATGGGACCAACTCTGAATAGAGCTTAGCTGACTACAACCCGTAAGAGGTCGAAGTGAGTTCTGGGAGTAGTCATCCCAGAACGATGGCATCCTATAAAATGGGCTTTTGCAGTAAAGCAAACTCCATTTTCAAGGCCCTAAACATTTCCAGCCATTGCCGAACTGCAGCTGAAGGGAAGCATCCAAATGATTGGGGGGGGGGTTGTCATACATTTTGGCTTGGTTTCTGAACACTGCAGGGTAATTGAGGGAAGGGACTTTTCCTTGCAGAAGACTCCCTTTTGCATAAGACTCCCAAGAGCACCTTACTGATGCTGCCTTCTGCAAAAGAATCCTTCCCCAACCCAGCACATTCCAAATGCTTTGGACTACAGCTCCCATCAGTCCCAAGCTGGGAAAATCTGGCCTGCAGAGAAAGGGGAACAAGCACTAGGATGCTCCCCACAGCACAGAGAGCTGCATCCCTGCAGATGCTCATATGCGGCACTTTCCACAGCCTCCGTGTTCATTTGCTCACCTTCTTCTTTTCAGGGAGCTCCTTATACTTTTTGGATAGTATCTTGGTGAGATCCAGATTGCTCATTTCCGGGTGTAGCTTAGCATACTTTGCTCGCTTCTCCATGAAGAAACGGAAATATGGAGTCAAAGGTTTCTTGGGGAAGTCGGGATGCTTCTGAATAGGGACAGGAAAGGAAGCAACAAGGAAGGTTTATTGTTTCGAGCCTGCCTGGTCAGAAGTCCACAAAACGTGTTAAATTAGCATCACGTAACTCTTTCTGTTCCACGCCATCTCCATTTTGTTCTGTGTGTCCTCATGCTCCCCACTGTATTTTTTTGTGGGGGACACGGAGAGTCCCATCATTTTTGCTCCCTACTAACATAGGGCTGAATTGATCACTTGCAGGCAGCCCCATGGAACTACACCAAAGGGCAGTGAGATGCAGGTTTCTCACCCCAAATCTAGTTAGTACTTTTCAGAAGCAAATCATTCCCATGTAACCCTATACACACTGACTGCAGCAACTAGACCTTAAAAGGTAAAGGTAAAGGTACCCCTGCCCGTACGGGCTAGTCTTGCCAGACTCTAGGGTTGTGCGCCATCTCACTCTATAGGCCGTGGGCCAGCGCTGTCCGGAGACACTTCCGGGTCACGTGGCCAGCGTGACATCGCTGCTCTGGCGAGCCAGAGCCGCACACGGAAACGCCGTTTACCTTCCCGCTTGTAAGCGGTCCCTATTTATCTACTTGCACCCGGGGGTGCTTTCGAACTGCTAGGTTGGCAGGCGCTGGGACCGAGCGACGGGAGCGCACCCCGCCGCGGGGATTCGAACCGCCGACCTTTCGATCGGCAAGCCCTAGGCGCTGAGGCTTTTACCCACAGCGCCACCCGCGTCCCCCAACTAGACCTTATCTCATAGCAAATGAGAAAAAAAATGTTTGGGGGTTTTTCTCCCGCCCACAAACTTCACCCCAATCAGAAAGTGAATCAAAAGAATTAAATCAGAATTAAAAGATGAGAAAAAGTTAATTAATTAGAGCCACCATAATTGGCTAGTCATGAGCATGAGCTTAAAGGGACAACAGTGGTTGTGAATGGAGGCAGGGATTCTCCAGAGGGCAAGAGACTAAAACAAGCTGCAGACAGCAAGTCAATCAGGTGTTGTTTTTTTTTAATTTTTTAAAAAAAGCAAAAGGATTTTAGCATCCAGATATGGCTTTTAGTGGCCCATTTCTTTCACCACTATTTTTCTTATTTCTTTTAATATTGTAAACTACTCAGTCCCTGCTTGAGCCAGATTAAATTGATGCACAAGATAGGTCAGCACACGTAAACTCTATCAGTGTTATTTACACAGCGCCATCTATGTATACAGTTTACAAAGAACAGGCCCCCTACCTCAAGTGGGGGCTGTCTAATAAAATAAATATGGAAACAGCCAATGCAAGGCAGTGGAAGAATTCACGACTATTTCAACAACACATACTTTGGCTTATTTGCAATAAAGGGACTGGGGGAGAAAACAACGCAAAGGCTTTGAGGAAAAGGCAGGTTAAGATTCCTTCTGTGTTAAAATGCCATTAAGAGGCCAAATTTTAAGTCCCAAGATACTACTCCTGCTCCCATACTGTTCCAAAGGTAGAGGCTGTATCTCAGTGGAAGATGCAGAAGGCCCCAGATTCAATCCCTGGCACCTCCAGCTTAAAGTGTCCAGTAGCAGCAGGGGAAGGGAAAGATCCTGCAGCTGAACAAAACCTGATGACCCATTAACGCCTGTTAGGCCTTTGGGGCCCACCTGCCAATTACCCAATGTCACAAGGAGCCAGGTAAAAAGGCATCTGGGCTGGGCCAAAATGCAGGGGCTTGCTAAGAACTCTGGGTGGTGCTTTGAAGTCCCGACAATTGGCTGGTTGTCGGGACTTCAAAGCACCACATAGAGCCATGCCGTGGTCATGTCACCTGACCTCTCTGCAACGCGCAGGCAGAGCATCTATACACTGGAAGGGAGGAACTCCACCAGCACACATGAGGTTGTGTGGAAGCATTTCCACCCTGAGCACCAATGACAGAAGGCATGGCTGCAATATGCAGTGAGGACATGGATCCTACAAGTCCCCCACCCAGCCACACAGTTATAACACATGGCTGGTAAACACTTGGCTGAGATTCTTGCATTGCAGAGGGTTGGACTAGATGCCCCCTGGGTCCCTTCCAACTCTAAGATTCTATGTGAACGTCCTACTTCTCATGCAGAAGGGGGGAGGGGGCTGAAGAGCAACAGCTCGGAGCAACTCTACTCCAACTCCTCTCAAATGTGTCTTCTGATTTCACTGAATTTTATGGCTCCCGTTTGTGAGGTGCCTTAAACTTTTCTAAGGAAAAGCAGGGTATAAACATTTTAAAGAGAGGGTGCATTATACAAGTTTAGGCACCAGGCAAAAATGTTCCTCTTCAACCAGTCCTCAGATTGATTAATATTCTACAGTCTTTTAAAGGTGTCTGTGGGAGGTTATTGTTTTGCTGTTTTGTTTTGCTCATTTACTTGTTTCTGTATTTTATTGTGTGAATGGCCCGAGATCTTACGATGAAGGGTGGTGTATAAATCTAAGAAATAAAAAAATAAAAAGTTGGTATCTCTCAGTTACAGGTTTTTCTTAAACTGGATTTATAGTTTCTTTAATGCCTGCTTGACAGGGCCACGCCTGGGAACTGCAAGAAATACGGTTGCCGTGGCTAAAATGCATGTGCAGGGCACCATGCCTGGGGTTCAAGCGCCCCCCCCCCCAGATTTGTGCTTCCATCCCATTTGTTCGAAAAGCAGATCTGAGAAATTCAATTTTCATTTTGCGACCTCCTAAAACAGGAAACACCCAAAGAAGAAGAGAAAAGCAAAGGTGTTGAAAAAACAGCTCTGACTGAAAACCAACAGTTCAAGCAACTGGCAGTGCTCCAAATAAGAATGACTCAGAAAAAGGGCGCCAAGGTGGGGTTTTTGGTGTGTGTGTCTGTCTGTGTGTGTGTGTGTGTGTGTGTGTGTGTGTGTAAATCTTCCACACAGCACTTCAGGCAGTCTTCAGAGTGCATGAGCACTCATGGAAGAACAACAGATACGGGCAACACAAAAGGGTAAATCTACAATTGATGTTAGGCCCATACCTTTATTAAAGACCAACTAAATGTCACAAAAGAGCATGAAAATTTTCTCCAGGCCCTTCATAAGGATAGATTGCAAACAAAGGAGGGGGATGGGGGGAAAGTGTTTTCTTCCCAGAAGCCCTTGGCGGTATTTGGTGCAACCTGAAATCTGCAGAGCTCCAAGAGAAAGCCTCATTTGGATGCCTGTAACTTCCACATTTCATCTTAAAGGCTGACTCCACGGATTCTACATCAACTCTCCCTACACACACACACACACACACACACACACACACACACACAATTCACTATCCTGATGAAGTGTTCTGAGGAACTCAAAAGCCTGCAGACTAATTTTGTGACATTTAGGCTGGCCTAACAAAGCTGAAAGGGAGTTCCAATTTTGTTTTACTTTACACCATGGAATGATATGTAGGCCTGTCAGCTTTCTAACCTCTTCTAGCTCCTAAACCCTTGTGAGTAGACATGAGTTGGCTGTAATGCTTTTTCTATGAAAGTTTCTTGCTAATTTCTGCCACTTAAAGCTGCTGTTAGAAAGAAACAAAAGCAGACCCAACCCATTTTTTTCCTGGTCAACAGGCAACCCTTTCAATACTCTACTTCCACCAAAAGTAGCCTGTTGACTAGAGCACTGCAATACTAATAATAGTAACAATATAGATTTAATTCCATTAATGTGTAATTCTTTTTTAATCATTGTTTCCTCTATGTTTTCAGACGCTCTTGTTTTTATATATAAGCTGCCTTGAGCCCCATCAGGGAAAAAGGTGGGGTATTATTATTCTCATGTTTTCTATCTAGTTTGGATTCTGGTCTTTTCATGGAATGAACCTCACTTCATCCTCTTTAGAAAACACTGGTTGAAAGAGAGAATATGACTTGTGGCAGCACGGGGAAAGAGAAGAGGGTCACCAAACACAATGCTCAGATTTTGCTCACAGTCACCTGCCCTCTTTCTGTACTTCAGCGAGGGACTGTGTCTTAAGCAGGACTCCTGAATGGAAGGAGGCAAGCCCAGAGCCGTAACCCCTGCAGAAATGCAAGTGTGCAGGGGTGAATTCTGCTGATTCTCTTCATCTAGGAGAGTACTGAATGATCTGGTGGCATCCAAGGCACAGGTGTGGCAAACATGCCTACCCCTCATCAGATGCTGACTGGCGGAAGGGAAGACCAAAGCAGTAGATCATGCAGAGACAAAAGGCCTATTTCGGCATGCAAATTGCAGAGAAAGCTACAGCATGGAGCCAAAGCAGGGCCATCTGCCCTGGTCTCGCCTCTATCGCCCACATACTATAGGGGTATGCCTGCAGCAAGGCTCCCCTCAACAGATGTGCCCCCACCACATGTGGCCATCCCTGCTCTCCCTCCCTACATGATTGCTGTTTGTGTGATTTGCATGCCCAAATTAATTCAAAGTGTTGGTGCTGACCTTTAAAGCCCTAAACAGCCTCGGCCCATTATACCTGAAGGAGAATCTCCACCCCCACCGCTCAGCCCGGACACTCGAGGTCCTCCTCCAAGGGTCTTCTGCTGGTTCCCCCACTGCGCAAAGCGAAGTTACAGGGAACCAGGCAGAGGGCCTTCTCGGTAGTGGTACCCTCCCTGTGGAATAGCTTCCCTTCAGATGTCAAGGAAACAAACAACTATCTGACTTTTAGAAGACATCCAAGTTTTTAAGGATTGATGTTCTTGTTATGTTTTTAGGTATGTTGTAAGCTACCCAGAGTGGCTGGGGAAACCCAGCCAGATGGGCGAGGTATAGCTAATAAAATAAAATAAAAATACTAGGCTGCAGTGGGCAGGTTCCTGTTAAAGATGGCTGCTTTGAAGCTTCTAGCAACTTTGACTCATTCATGTATTTCTACCTGCCTGCCCCCAGAGAGCTCCTTCCTGGCACATGCTTTGGGAGTGTCTCATTCTCAATTTTTCACATTCTTTGAAGTAATCTGGTTTTAAGTGCTTTAATTGAGAGGGGAGGGGCGAGAGACAATACAATTGTGCTACCCTTCTGCACTCTTAAAAAGCGCTTTGCTGATCGTTAAAGTGATACGCATATCAACAACTGCAAATTGAAATGCATGTGTGTATACGTGTACAGTGGTACCTCGGGTTAAGTACTTAATTCGTTCCAAGGTCCGTTTTTAACCTGAAACTGTTCTTAACCTGAAGCACCACTTTAGCTAATGGGGCCTCCTGTCCCCCGGAGCACGATTTCTGTTCTCATCCTGAAGCAAAGTTCTTAACCTGAAGCACTATTTCTGGGTTAACGGAGTCTGTAACCTGAAGCGTATGTAACCTGAAGCATATGTAACCCAAGGTACCACTGTATGTGTATGCGTGTGTGTGTGTGTAATGAGGATTGTTTATAGCACAGGTGTGTGACACTGGAAGCTGCACTATTCCACTATTTCTCCCCTATGGCAGAATCACCTGCCATGGTGCCATCAGATGTTTTTGGACTACAATTTCCAACCTCCCCACCCAGCACGAACAATTATCAGGAATGATGGGAGCTGTAGTCCCATTTATCTGGAGGGCATCTCGGTACCCTCCCCTGCCCTGTGGGATCTTGTATGGGGGTCAGCAACGTTAAGAAACACTGGCCGCCAAGCACTGCAGCACAGGAACAAAGCAGGAAAGTTAACAGAGCAGCCAGCCAGATTCAGAAGGAGACGTTCTCTCATGAGTCTTTCCCTCCACTGAGTCAACGCTTACCTTCAGCTTTTTGCCCTTGTATGGGTTTTTCACGTGCTCCTCAGCGTCCATAATCAGTTCTGTCAGGGTTCGGAACTTCCTCACCTGCAGGAGCAACCAGCAAATGCAACCAGAGACAGGGGAGAGAACAGCATTATCAACCATTTCCAGGGCTGCAAGTCTTTACTAGCACACCATAGCAACCATGACTGAACTTGTGAGCGGAACTGAGAGCTAAGGGCACTTTTATACAAATCCCCAATTATGAAGCCACCACCTTGCTGCAGCTAAGCATGTCTGAATTTGATCAGTATTTGGATGGGGGAACTACCTAAGTTCTTACATATCCTTTAATTCTCAAAGCAGGCATCTTAATGGAGTCTATGGCAAAAAGCAAATTGACTTTGTTGCATTAGCAAGCAGGTGATTCATCATTAGTTCTAACAATCCCCTATGTGCCTGGGGCATCCATCATGGAGTGTCAAATGGGAAGGCAATTTGTTGCTTCTACGTTTCATACAGCACCTAGCACACAGCTGCCACTAAACATACATTGGCTGCATTCGTGCATTATGCTAGTAACTACCTCAAATTAGCTATGTGTCTGGGGCGTTGATTGTGGAGTGTATTCTCTCTGGGGAAGGTACCATGTTGCCTTTATGTTCTGTGCAACATCTAGCATACAGCTGCCATGAAACATACAATAGCTGTGTGTGCATATTTTGGTAATCCATGGTTTGTTTTAATCGTGGCTTGCTTAACCAACCATGAGTTATCTCACAGACGAGCAAGCAAACCATGTCAGCTGGTTTCTCCAAAACTTAAGATTGTTCTGCATCTGTTCTAGCCTAATCTCCCACAGCTCGGTGCGTAACTAGGGCAAACAAACCATAGTTAAGCACGGCCGTTTGTTTTGGTCATAACACCAAAGCCATAATTAAAACAAGTCATGGCTCGCAGAAGCCAACAGCAAACCATGCTTCACTTTGTGGTTTGTTGCCAGCTAACCGACTGTGGTTAGTCTTCTGGGCTCAGCTCACACATTCAAACAAACTAGGGCCTGGTTTTATGTTTCAATAAGGCCATTAATAGCAAATTCCTAAGAACAGCTGTTCCAGCAAAAATAACAGACTCCTACAGCACCTTAGAGATTTTGCATGTTTAAGCTTAGAAATGTCATAAACTTTAAGGGATTAAGCAGTATGTCAATGCCTAAGTTTATATTTGCATTAGTACATAGGGTGAAAGGATTTTACAGTGAACCCAAAAACACAGAATTGCAGTGAGCAGGAAACATTTCTATGCACAACTCAAATAAATACAAGATCAAATCAGTTGCTCATCAGTAACATTAACTAGTAATTATTGGTTTTAAATTAGCAAGACAAGAAAGATAGTATATTTAACACTTAAAGTGGAACAATAAATTTCTGCAGCAAGAAAGACGTTCCTAAATGCCATCTGTCTCGACTTCAACCCTAACAAATTTTCTAATGCTGGGGTAAGCAAACTTCAGGCTTGTGGGATCTACTTTGTGTTATTTTACTAGCACCCCAAAGTCCACCAAGTGAAACCCAATGTAAAATAGCCATTAGAATAAAGGAAGAGAGTACCTATGAATTTGTTTTTGGAATGTGAACTGAGTGTTACAGGGGGTTGGTTTTCCCAAAAAGCTTTTATTTATTTCAGCAGTCTGATTTGCGCTTTTCGTTGCTGTTGTTTTAATTACTGGGAGCTGGAAACTCTTGGTGGTCTGCTGCCAGAAATCTTGCCCAGATCTCTCTCTACCAGTATATCCCAATCTGTCTTTTGCCAGCCACGGTTCTTCAGCTTCCTGCTGCAGCCTCCCTTCAAAACTCTTTTCTTACCGAAGCACAACAACTTAATGGTCAAAAACAGAATCTCCTCGAGGACTGCCTTTGTAGTAGCGATAGTGGTTTCATTCATACCATCAAGACATTCGACAGTGCAATCCTGAGATCAATGGGGCTTGCTCTCAGGTAAGTGGATCTAGGACTGCGGCCAAAATGTGACATGGATGTGGAGAGTTAATAAGAAGGCAGCCAGCCAGCCCTTTGCCTGCCCAGGCAAAGATGAAGGAGATAGAGAGGATGTGATTAAGATGAGTGATCGGGCAGATGGGAACTGGCAGCAAGAGGCAGGTAGTTTTGGTGGTATGTGGATGGAGAGGGACTTGAAAGAGATGTGGGCATCTGATAAAGAAGGGAGAACATTACGGGCAAGACAGAAGAACCAGGGAAGGAAGCAGGCACTCCTGCCTTGCTATCACACTGGCAAAGTCTTAGGACCCAGCATTCAGATCAAGGCAGCCCTGCAGCATACCAGAGAGCCCAGCCCAAAGAAGTGCCCCATCCTCATACTAAACAACATTTCATGTCACAGACCCATATCAAGTATAAAAAAGGCTACCTCATTGGAGATCTCATTCCACTTCATCTTGCACATCTCACTGGAAAAGTCCTTGAAGGCAACTTTGTCCCAGTCCAGGTGGGATTCGGTGGTTTTGAACTTGCTGCCGTCATTGGAGGGCAGATTGTTCTTCATGCACTCCAAGAGGGTGAGCATATCTTCCTGGGTCCAACGGTCTGCGGGAGGGGAGGGGAAACATATACTCTGTGTATCATACATTACATTTGGCATACACTAGGGATACTAAGGTTCATCACCAAGTTGCTTTTAGCCAATGAAATCATCTGCTCAGCCTGCAATACTATATCCACTTACCTGGGAGTAAGTCCTGTCGAATTCAATGCACCTTATTACTAAGTCAACATATTGTTTAAATATAAAATTTAAAAACGTGCTTATTGCAAGAGCTCAATGTACAGCTCTTTTCAAGGATCCTAAAGAAAGCAACATTTTATCTCCCTAATTAGACTATTTACCGTTTTGTACGCAAGAATCTAATTGCTCTTTTTCAAATTTGGGTTGTGTCAAAATTCGCAGGAGTATGAGGATGCTTATATAATGATGCACAGAGAGGCTACTTCTGCCTCACCAAGCCTTAGATAGACTCTTCTTAGTATCTTGCTGAGGATTTAGAAGCATATATAAAATAACAGCAAAGCAATAGCCTTCAGGGTTCCACGTTCATAGCAAAACGGTACCCATGAACTACAAATCCCAGCATGCAAGTCTTAGCTTTGCCCACAAAGAGTTCAACAGCAACACATGCAAACATGAACCCTAAGGGACTGGAAACTTCATGTTTAATCAACCTTCTGTCCACGACCAGGAAAAATCCCCAATATATTCTAAATAATATAATTAAAGTGGGGGGGTGGGGAGGAAGCCCTGCATAGATGGCAAACATCATATTCTCAAGAAAAGACTAGGAATGCATGAGCAAGGTAATAAAGTATTCTTGTATTTAAGCACTTAGCCTGGTAGCCACAGACAACCAGAAACTGCCACCAGGCAAGTAACTAGGGTGGCAGAGGAGAGATGGACAGCTCTGCACCAAGTTAGCTGAAAAAGAAAAACTCCTTCCTGCATTCCCATCTGGCTAGAAATTCAGTAAGCTAATTCATGAGACTTCTATAAAGGATTTACTTTGTCCGGCAATCAATTTCTTTTTTTAAAATATGCAAACTAGAACAAGCTGTGGCTGGAATCCTGTTCTGCAAAATTTTCTGGCGCAGCCCAGTTGACCCTCCCAGGAGTTTCCACCTTCTCACCTTGGTTTTTGGGGGCCGTCATTTCTAAGTCAGTTGGGCTATCCGCTTCTCCGTTCATCCTCCACCTCTCGGACCCTAGGGTGACACCTCCTGGGTCTGCCCCTTCCAGCTCCCTCTCGCCCCCCTTCACGATGGCGTCAATCACTTTTCACCCTGAAAGCAGGAATGAACGGGAGTTACAGCCTCTGCTTTCCCGCTACTGCCCTTCTTAACAGCACCAGCACGTCCCCTCCAAAAACAGGGGGCTTGTTTGCATACAGAATAACAACTCCTGAACTTGAACCTGAAAGTTCAAGTGAGGTTTTTTTTAGAAAAAGAAAGGAATTTTGATAAAATCAAGGTCTCAACACATTTTCCTTTCACCCTTGGGTAAGTGATTATGTGAACAGTAACAGGATTATCTTCTCTGGTGGATGGAGGGCAAGGTTTCCTGTAGGCAGAGGAAACAGCGGATGTCCAAAGACGGCCACAGGAACATTCTGGAATTCTCTTTCCCTAGAGAAAAGTTGGGCCCTGAATCTTATCATGGCCAACGGCAAGAGATAAGAACGGTCCTCCAGCAACATCTGTCTACCCTTTGGCCTAGAGGATTGTAACAGCACATCTATTCATTGGCATCAGTGCTGGATTTATGTATAAGATATAGCTTAGGGCCCCACTCTCTTGCCCCCCCCAAAAAAAACTAAAGAAAAAAACCTATTAATTGTACTGTATTTCAGTTCAACAATTACCTTGATAAATACATATTTTGTTATGTGCAAAGGGCTTTAGATACCAATTAGGTCCATAAATTACCAAATAGCATTTATTCAACACAAAAAACAGCAACCATTTGTTGACCAAGGACAGCTGGACATATAAAGGGCCCCATTACCTTAGTAGCTTAGGGCCTCACCAAACCTAAATCCAGCTCTGATTGGCGTATAAATCTGGATTCAGAAAGGAATCCATTTCACAAATGGGGCTAAGTGTGCTAAAAGTTGGGGGTGGGGGTCGGGAATCTGCACAGCTGAAGTAGGTCTCAGTGGGATCCTCTAAACAGAAAAGGCCTCCAACAGCACTAGGAATGGGAGGGCCCAAAGTGGGATCTATGTCACATAGAAGGGAAATGCAGTGGAATAAATCACAGTAGAGGGATGGGGGGGGGGGAGAGATTACAGCCAGGGTAGTCTTGAGTTTGGAGTGTTGACTTGGACTGAGGATGCCTAAGTTTGATTATCTACTCTGCCATAAAAGTCAAGTGAGTGATCTCGGGCCAGTTAGCAATTTCTTTTAAAAATATGTAAAACAGGACAAGCTGTGGTTGGAATCCTGTTCTGCAAAATTTTCTAATGCAGCCCAGTTGATCCTTCCAGGAGTTCCACTTTCTCACCTTGATTTTTTCGGGGGGTGTGGTGGGGCGGTCATTTCTAAGTCAATGGGCCACTTAGTAACTTTCCCCCTCCCCTTCAGTGTAACTTTCCTCACAGAGTTGATGCAAGGATAAAAACGAGGTAGCCTACACAGACAGCTATGAGGAAGGGCAAGAGCAAAAGGCAATAGTGGTTAAAAATGGGGAACAGGAGAATGAAGAGAAGGAGGTCACTTTGTGGAGTGTACAGGAGAAGAGAATGAGGGATATGGGCATTAAGTGAGTAGAGAATCCGTATTTTGTTTTGTTTTTAAGGGCAACTGGCACGCTAGTCCTCAAGAGCGAAGACAGGAAGTGTTATATAAGGGAAGCGACAGGGGGAGGGGATAGAAACGAAAGCCGAGCGACCTGATTGGGAGGAGGAAGAGATCCCCGGGATTCTGGTTGCAGGGAAGGCAAAAGAAACGATTCGTTTGGCCGAGAAGGAAGCGGGCGGGATCGAATCAAGCCCAAGGATCCCTGGCCAGCGTGGGTGGGGAAGAGAGGCGGACCTGCGGGGCGGGGTGGAGGAGGAGAGGCAGGCCGGGCGAGGGGGTGGGATCTGCGGGTGCCTCTTCTGCGCTCCCTCCCTCCCCTTCCATCTGCTCTTCCGAGGCCGCGCTAGCAGCAGCCAATCTCCGCCGCCGCCGCCTCCCTGCAGCAGAAGAGCCGCAGCTGCTGCTGGTTGCTGCCCCCCTCCTCTCGCTCTCTGCCTGTCTCCAGGCAGGCGGGAGAGCCGAGCCGAGCCGTCGGAGCGGCTGCTGCAGCTGCCTCGCCTCCTCCCCCCGCCTCCGTCCTCTCCACACGCCCTGCGGGCGCCACCGAAGGAAAAATCTAGCCGCCGCCGCCTCGTCTGCCCGATTCCTCTCTCCCGCCCACCCTCGCACACGTATTTTTTTTTAAACCCCGGGACGGGCTCCAGCCCTCTGGCCTTGAACCTCCCTTCCTCCCGAGGGCAAGGAGGAAGGAGGGCGCCACCGAAGCCTCGGTTCTTCGGCAGATCCAGCGCTCCACCGAGTTAGGTCGACCTTCCCGGGAGGAGGGAACTTTGGATCACCGGATCACCCGCTCCCGAGATTTCTTTTCCCCTCCCCGTTCTTCGCTTTGTTGGATTTCTACGGGATTGATTCAAGATCCAGCTCTCTTTCGACACACAACCCCATACGATTTCTCCGCTTTGTTAACAGAGATCACCCTCTTTCCCCGCTGGATCTTGGTTTCGTAAATCCTCGAAGTGCGACCCAGTCCTTCCCTCTAACCAAATGCCTTTACTCAAATTTCTAACTCTTCCCCCCTCCTTTGTATCCCCAAACCGCTTTCCCGCCGCCCCAGATCCCGAGAGACCAGCCACTTGAGAGGGGTGACTCTTCCCCGCCGTCGGGCAACGTGGTCGAGCAGGCGAGGCTGGCTCTCGCGTTTCCCCCGATTAACTCGCCTTCGATCCCGAGGAAACAGAGAGCAGCCGTCCCCAATCTGAAGGGCGAGGTTGTAGTTTCCCCCCAAATCCTGTACCCGCAGCGCGAAGCAACGGATCCCGCGCCGTCAGCCTCGGAACAGGCAGCGACCCCAAGCCCGGTGCGCGCGTGGAGAAGGGGGCCGCCAGGCGAGTTGCGCGTCTCTTTTTCTCTCCGTCGGTCTCACCTCGTCGAGGCGGTTAAGAAGGCTGAGACAAGCCCGCCTCGTTGTGGCGGCGGCAGGCGCGAGTGGGGAGGAGCAGGAGCCGGAGAGCCGCTGCTGCAGCAGCCCCATCGGAGCCGCTGGTGGAAGGGGGGCGGGGAAGGCAGGCTGGCGGGAGGGAGAAATGAATGCCCGGCTGGGGGCGTCCAGGCAGAGCCGAGGGAGGGCAGCACGTCGTGGCTGTTGCTGCCGCTGCTTCTGCCGCCGCCGCCGCCGCCTCCACCAGCAGCAGCGCCCAGACCCCCGGGGAGCGCCTCCCCCTGCGCGCCTAGGGCGCACGGGAACTCGGCGGAGCCAAAGCCCGCTCACCCGATTCTCCACACTCGCTCCGCAGCGGGGGGCCCCCCGAAAAAAGCGTCTCGTCGGGGGAGAGGAAAAGAGGAGGGAGGGACGCCGAAGACCTCGCCTGCATGGACCCACCCTCCGGATGGCGGAGGAGCGCGCTGGCTGCAGCCGGTCGGAAAGGCTGCGCCGACCGAGCTCGCCAAAGGTCCCCAGCGCGCGGGGGGAACGCGGGGAACAATACCCTTTCCGAAATAAAATCGAGCGGCGGCTTTGGGCTCTCGATTTCGTACAATGGAAAAGGCATGGGAGCAAAACTAGCGCGCGAGGACGGTGGAAAGAAAAGGGAAAATGAGTGCGTTTCCCCCGCCGTCCATTGGCTTCTCTCCCTCTGCAGGCAGCCAGAGAAAGGCGGCGGCGGCTTGGTTGTTTCCACCTTCCCTTCTAACCCGAGCAGGGCCCCCTCGGTTCCAAAATAAGCCTAAACCATGGGCGGGGGAGAAAGAAAAAAGGGGGATCGAGTCTCTGAACCCCCGGATTGTACCGCCTGGTTATTTCTGCCCCTGCAGAGCGAGGATCGGCGTGCGAGAATCCGCCACCGCCTGCCTTCTCTCTCGCCCTTCCATGGCCGAACGCGGCGGCCTCTTTCGCCTAAGCGAGCACATGGAAGGCGGAAAGGGGCTCCGATCCGCTTCCCCCCACCGATGCCCTGCTTGATGGAAAGGGGGCGCGCCCCCAAAACACGTTTTTCAAAAAACAAAACCTGTTCGGTTCTCAAATATTGAATATATTTAAAAATAACACCAGTCTCCTCCCTCCCCAAAAAATGTGCTGAAGCGGGAGGGGAAAACCCCCGAAATAATATTTTCTTTTTTAAAAAAGATGCACCCCGATAAATGAGCGGAAGCCCCCATTTTTTCAGCCTTACCGAGGACCCAGGAGACGCAGGCAGAGGAGAGCAGTGACGGTGGCTGCTTCCTCCGAGCAGCGGCCGCCGCCTGCTTGTCTTCCTCCGCTGCCGGAGCTCGAGGAGGGAACAAAAGCGCCTCCCTCCAGCCCCAGATGGCGGAGCGCAGCGTCGGGTTAATGGCGAGCTCCACATGCGCTCGCACTGCCGCAAAGGCAGCCCCGGCTGGAGGCAGCGTCGCCTCGGATCGTGCCTGCTTTCCCCCCCTCCCCCTGATCCGTCCTTTACCCACCACCCACCCTCCTTTGCAACGGGGGGCTCCATGCCGGAGCTGATTCGAGGGGAGATTCGGAGCCCCCTTCTACGTCTGCAACCTACCTGCAGATCGGAAGGCTTTTGGAGGAAAGCTCCCCCTTTTTTTCCTCCCCCCCTCTTCTTTCCCGGGCTCGCTTTAGCTGGGAAGCGTTGGTTGAATGCACGCCAGCTCTGCAGCGCTGGCCCCGGGCGTGGACTCGCTCCAGTCCCCGCAGAGAGCTCGCACTTCCCCCGCCTCCATCGCTCTGCTTTTTTCTTCCAATCAGCCGGTCTCTTCGGCTCCCGGATCCTTAGGCAACCTCACAGCCTTTCTTCACAAGTCCCCACTTTTCCATCTGCTCCCTAAACGGGATTGCAAAAATGGAAGCATATTTTTTTTCCCGGGGGTGGTGGTCCGATCTCTCTCGGATCTCACCAGGTTGTGGATCTAAGTGTCTCGGGGTGTGTAGAGAGAGAGTTCAGTGTGTGTGTGTGTGTGTGTGTGTGTGTGTATGTGCGTATGTTTTTATTGCTCTTTGCTTTTGCAACACTGTAGTCAAACGAGAAGAGGGAGGAGGGGAAAGGGAAAAAAGAAAAGAGAGGAGGGGAAAACCTTGCATTTGCCACAAATCCTCTTCGCTTGGCGCTTGTAAAACGATCACAAATCACACGCACTCGATTTTAATTCCTCCTGCGACCTCCCCTTTCTTTCCTCCCCCACCTTCAAACGATTGCATCAAGAGGGCGGGGAGGGGGGGGACAGGGAAGCGATCCGAAATAAATTAAAAAATAAAAACTCGGAAGGAGCAGGAAATAGCCGCAGCGAAGGCACTAGATTATTTCTGAGAGCGGACATATTTTTGGCAACAAGCGGCTCCCCCCCCCCAAAAGGTGCCAGTTTCCCTGCCTTGTAAACAACGGGGAAGGGAGGGGAGGAGGAGTTTGTGACTCCCTGTTGGGTATTATTGACACTAATCTCGGTGTTGTTTTCTAGCCGTTGCGTGGAAATGACACTCGTCTATAGATTTTTACAGTCAAATGCCAGGCTTCATATTTTTTTTGTTCTCCCTCCCTCTCTTTCTCTATAATCTAATTTTTTCCAGCTCCACCTTTGTTGTTAAGGGCGTCATCTCCGGCTGCAGCCAATCACCTGCTTTCAGGGTTGCCTGTCAAATTAACGCCGATTCCAATACGCAAAAGCGACTTTTACAGACAGACCCGAATGCAATTAGGAGTTATGGGTTGGAGAGGCGGGGAAGGGGGCAGAGGGAGCTAATCAACGCGCCCGCCCTCGCCTCCCCCCCCCCCAAGCAACCCGCGTTAAAAACGGGCCACCGCGGATGAGCGGCGCTCGTCTGTTCTCCGTGATGTTTTTCCAGTTGGAACCGGGAATAATTTCTCCGCTTCCCGGGATCTCTGGGATAGGGAGGCGTGTGCGTCACGTCTGCCTGTCTCTCATACAGAACATGGAAGTATGTTCTAATGAGGGGAACACATTAACAGGTAATTTATATTATAAGGATAAGTTTTGGAATTTAAAAGGCAAAGCAAAATGACAAACCCCCAAACCCATTTTGAATCACGAGACCCATCCATTTGGACCCTTCGCTGCCCACCCTGAATCGTACTGCGTTTTGCTTTTACTTCCTCCATTTTCCCTAGCTGTTGGGAATGAGCAAGTGTGTGGAGATTTGAGCATCTGTGCAGTAGCTTTTAAATATGTACCTGCACATTTACTGCAAACTAAATCCCAGTCAGTTCAAGGTAAACTTTCTGCCAAGTAAGGGGACACAGAACTGTAGATTTGGCCGACCCTGACCCCTTTGTACCTACTGTAAAAGGCTGACAATGCAGTTTGCATATGTCTACTCCACTGAGTTCAATGGGGCTTACTCCCAGGTAAGTGTGGTAAATAATGTAATATATATGTTGCAAACTGTTGTAACAAAGTATTTTTTGAGATAGCAACTTTTGTGCATGGATCAAGTTTTATAGAGGGCGCTTATCATATTTATGATTAATTTGTATTCATGCTTTTAATGTTTTTGTTATGTTTTCTAATATATATTTGGAAAAGCCCAACGTCATGGGAATACATACGTATTGATTGTCATGAGTGTGACAGTGAAGATAATAGAAAAGTAGAATTGTAGAGTTGAAAGCATCATCTAGTCCAACTCTCTTCAATGTGGGGCTGGAACCCATGAATTTGAGATTATGTCTCATGCTCTGCCCACTCGGAACTGAGCTATCCCAGCGGCATAAGATATTGCTCCCAGTGGCGTAGCGTGGGTTGTCAGCACCCGGGGCAAGGCAAGTAATTTGCGCCCCCTAACCCGTGGATTTGCGTCCCCTAACCCGTGGATTTGCGCCCCCTAACCCTAACCCCCAGATGTTGCGCCCGGTGCGGCCGGCCCCCCCTGCACCCCCCACGCTACGCCACTGATTGCTCCCATCTCCCCCCTCTGCAGCAAATCGTTTGGTTATCGTTGGTTTGAGAATATTCTGTTATGCTGCATTTTTGCCATTTTACAGAGAGCAGCTCATTTTTGCTTCTCGCTTAACTTGCTGCTAAATGTAAATTCTGTTGGGAGTGGGCTTGCTTTTTCTACCCTTGTCGCTTTACCACGTTGCAGATGAGAACACACAGGCTGCCACGTGGGCATCCCTATAATATACTATATAATACAGCATGGGTGAGGAAATGCTAGGCCGGGGACCAAATCTAGCCCTCAGGCCTCTTCTATAGGCCACACCCCTCATCATCCTACTTCCTACCTTCCTTGAATGTTCTTGCCTGCCTGAAATGTGTCCGTAAGCTCTGATAATGCATCTTGGCAGATTGAGTGGGGAATTGAGAGGGGTGTGTGCTGCATGTTCATAGAAACTACCCTGGTGTACAAAGGTAAATTTCACATCTCTGGCTCCTCACACTTTGGCCTCTGGCCCCACCTACAGCTGCCACATGGCTCTGGGCCATTTTCTCAGACAGGAGCAGGTCCCTGAGTTTGAAAAAAGGTCTGCACCCCAACTGTAAAATAGACAGTGATGGATTTTTCAACACTTTGTGTACATAGCAATAAACTTTCTGCTGCACTTATGTGTGGTGAGGTTTGCTGAGTGCTTTCTATCATTACCACCCCTACTTCCATTGATGAGGCACTGCTCAGGGACAGGGGCAACATGTATTTATTTATTTTATTAACCTGTTTTTACATATATAAGAAAACTTTTTTTTTTTAAGTCCACATACAGGTAAACAAATAACTGTGTGGATGCTCATAATGGACCTCAGGTTTCCTGAATTTAGGGAAGGTGGGGAAGTACTAATTGAGGAGAGCTGACAGCAACACACACTGCAAATGCGCCCCATCAAGCTTCACCCACTAGTGTAGATGGCAATTGAGAGTGCTCAGGTGTGGACGGAAGTGGACACAGAAAAGTCTGGTCTGTGCAACTCGTGCACATTTAGCAAGCCGGTTTGTATGCAGCCCTTTTGATAGTTTGCTTCCTACTGGGGACTCACATGACTGAATGTTCTCCCATACATAAATGTTAACTTGCATGTGATGGACTTAAACGTCGGTGGAAAAGCAAAGTCAGAAACTAACCTGCAGAATTTCTTTTATACGATGGAGCATTCAGTTCTTTGAGCCACACATCCCTTGCAGTCTGACATGGTGCGGCGGCCTCGACCCAGGCTTACCACCTCAAAGAGGGTGGTAACTTCTGTGGGGCAGAAGTTGGAGAAGCTGTGAGCCTCCAAAGGTTGTTAGATCACAACTTCCATCATTCCCAAGTCTAAGGCTGCCATTCTAGCCAGGGCACACCACACACTCTTCACCTCCTCTTCCTTTCCTTTTTCCTTTTTCCTTTTTCTTTTTTCTTCCTTCAGCCCACCTGCACCACAACCTGTTTCCTTCAATGTACCTGCCACATCAAACTGGACTGCTTTGACTGACTTCAGCTTGTCTCTTCAACCTCAATGATTTTGGCTTAGTTTTCACACTGGTGGCCAAGCTGTGCCTAGACTGTATCCCTCAGGCGGAAGATGAAGGTTGATATGATCAAATCTCCTCTGTTTAAAAATACATAAATCCTTGCACCCAGATAACTAGCAATTCAGAAATAAGGACAGGTGATAACTCTTCCTCTCTTTTAATTTTCTGGGTGGAGGAAATGCTTTTGTCAGTATCATCAGTCTCCAAGACACACTTCTTTAGTGAGTCGACCACAGAACCTCTGTTCACACAAGAGCTGCAATCCTCAACCCAAATCTCTCCACGGATGGCTGTAGGTATGCTTATTTTGTTTTGCACGGTGAATAAAGCAAACCATATGTTAATTTTTTAAAAGCCCTCCTCTTTGTGTCCTAGGGTGCCTCCAGATTATCTATATTTTTCTAGATGTATATAAAAGCATAAAGGAACTCTGTTTGTGCCTTTAAAGTGGATTAAAGCACTTTGTTGCCCCAGCACAACAAAATACACTGTAAACAAACCTCTTTGTGGTTTGGAAAGGGACAGGGAAATTAATCGAAAAGTGGGGGGTGAACGAATGATTAGGGGGAAGACCTGTTAAATCACCCTGCAAGCAAATCGGGATGAATGCTCATTTACCGTATTTTTTGCTCTATAAGACGCACCAGACCACAAGACGCACCTAGTTTTTGGAGGAGGAAAACAAGGGAAAAAAATATTCTGAATCTCAGAAGCTAGAACAGCAAGAGGGATCGCTGCACAGCGAAAGCAGCAATCCCTCTTGCTGTTCTGGCTTCTGGGATAGCTGTGCAGCCTGCATTTGCTCCATAAGACGCACACACATTTCCCCTTACTTTTTAGGAAGGAAAAAGTGAGTCTTATAGAGCAAAAAATACGGTACTTCTAATCACCTGTAAACCAATCAACAAATAATGAAGACCAGACATAGTTTAATTGCCACATAAGCTTTGTGCAAGCAAATCAGGATGGATGCTGAATAAACAGGCCGTCCATAGTAAATGTCTGCATAAAAGCTGTTCACCACACTTGTTCACCACCACAAGGTTGTAGAGTATATATTTGTTCAACTTTGGGACCCCCTCACCTGGAATCTGAAGTGGTAACATCCATAACACAGTTTTTTGTCACCAAAAAGTGAAAACTAGGCCTTAATCTCATCCCTTCAATCAGAGTCTAACTCCATAGTTGCGTCCAGGATTAAGCCCCCTGCCCACTCACCCCACAGCATGGGGGATCCCCAACAACCTTAGTTGCCTCTCCCCTTGGATGCCAGTCCATCTGATTTGCTGAACTCATGACCAGGCTCATTGCTTTGGGGAACTGGCTGCAGCCTTGGCTGCTGGGTTAGCACTTCGCTTCCAAGCACACCACCCCGTAGCCCCCTAGGCCTTGTTGTTTGGCCGTAACAGAAAAAACTACCGATCACATTAGAAAAGGCCTGTCCCTACAAAGACTGTGAAGAGTGCTCACGTGGACTTTAATAACAATGATAATTGACCGTATCCTGCCCCCTGACCCAGTGATTACCCGAAGACTGGTTTTGGGTTGAAAAGACAATGAACAAGTTGCTGTTTTTCTTAAAAAAAAGAAAGAAAAAGGTTTATTGCTTTTGTTAATTGTCGTTATAATCAAGAAAACAATTGTAATACAATTGGCTGAATCAATCATCTCTAAAGTCAATCGGAGAAAAATAACATAAAGGAAATGCAACACACAATTGCATGCAAAGCGCAGGTGAAATCCTGCATTGTATTTTTTTTTAACCTAGCAAAGCAAAAAGCTATTAAAAATGAATTTTAATAAATTACAAAAGCTCATTATCACCAACTTAAAATGTGTACAACAACTAGAGATGCCAACTTTCTTCCTGAGAGGACTCCTGTGCCTTTACACCTAGATTAAGTGGCAAATTTTTATTTTATTTTTTAAAAAATCAGCCAGTAAAGCTTGCCGTATCACTGCAATGCCACACTGGAAAAAATGATCCATCTGTTGAGTTTCTGCCTGTCATGCAGCTGTTAAAAGGCAAAGAAAACCTGCAAGACTACCCCCCCTCCAAATGGCAACCCTAATTATAGCAGTGTGGCTTCAGGATACAATTACATAGCCCTTAGAGTTTATGTCTTTAATTAATGTAACGTGGAAATGTCGAACTTCAGCCGACACAAGCTGGTATGGTTAATTCTGTCAAGAAAGAGGGGTCTAGTCTCAAGATCCCCCTTCACACATTCACACACAGACACACAGCATTAACTAATTAATCGGTCTGTTCAATTTACCATTTTGCTCAGATTAAAAGCTGGAATGTGTTTCTTGATTTGTTCCCCCTGAGGCTGCATAAATAAAAGACAGAAACTCCAACCAATGGTTCATCTAATTTTTTGCCTTCTCAACAGTAGCCAGTTGGCTGCTTCTGGGAAACTCACAAGGCATGCCACAAATTGCCCTCCCTTGTAGTTTGCCCTCATTATCTAGTGGTATGCTATTGGTATATTGCCTCCAAAGATGGAGGTTCTCCTGATTTGTCGTGTCGAACATCCACTGATTGTCCTTGAATCATCAAATCCTTTTAATAATAATAATAATAATAATAATTACTAAAAAACAACATAACCAGAGCTAGCGTCCATCACTACAGCTTGTGGCAATTAGTTCCATAAATTGGTTATGCAATAGGAAGAAGAAATGCTACCGTTTGTTTCTCCTAATCCTATTGCTAATTGAATTCATGCTAACCAACCCTTAATTTGAGCCCAGGGTTCAGTCCTGGTTTATGCAAAATAGCAACGACGGGCAGAGCACTGCTGGGCATATTGCAACAGCTTTTTGCTTGCAGTGAATCACCACAGTAGCCCACGCATGCCTGGGATTTAGAAAAGTCAGGCTGCCCATTTAAAAAAAAAATTAAAATGTGGTACCAGATTTGTCTGGTCACTTTCTTTTGAGGAAGTAACCACTAAAAACACTATTTATGCTAGAACAGCTACTGCCAGCTCTGGATTCCTGTTTGTCACAACAAGTGAAGTTTTTTAATTATCCTAAATATATTGACGGATAGCATGACATGATACGTATATTCGAGGGGAGATGATGGGGTTGTGCATCAGACCAGTGCAAAAGGGTCTGGATCATTTCAACAGACAGGTGTAGCACTTGTTAGCCGCGTGAGGTAGAATCAGGAGGAGGAAGCTACTTGCCTGAGAGCTTATCGTTAGCTATTTGACTTGGTGGTGGTGGCAGCATGTAGGAGCCAGATGAAGGTCAGTGAGGACATATACCTTGATTTAAGGCTGCTGGCTGTTTGAAGAGAAACAGCACCTAGCACACAGCTTTTAGGAGGAGAGTGGAGGATAGGGAACCCCATAAAGCAATGCATGAGATTAGCCATAAATCATTAAGCAGAGCTGCTATTGGCACATTCATGCACCACTCAGACAGGTGCATATGAGAGTTCTTGTAGCTATATGTGTATACTGTGAAAAAAATAAAATATGTACTCTGCAATAAGAATATATTCTGCAAATTTTAAATCTTGTTTGCAGGCATCTGCTCAGCTATGCTTCCCTGATACAGGTTTTCATATATTTTGGTATGTGTTACCATGCAAGGCAGGGGAGGCAAAAGAGAAAGACAGGACCTGCTGGAAGAGATTTGCAAGCATTCCCTGTATCATGAGGACTAGAATTCCTTTAAAAATTAAAAAAGTTAAAGAGTCCCGGGACTCCAGCCTGCAGAGGACAACAGATTCTGCACTTTAAACACACGCCCAGCCCTGGTTATTGTTCTCCATTAAGACAAGCTTATTTTTTTGTAGCTAATTCATACTAAAGAGAGCATTTCTCTTAAAGTGGCTTTAATAAGAACATAAAAAGCTCTGCTGCCGGATCCAGCCAAAAGCCTATGTGGTCCAGCATCCTGTTCTCACAGTGGCCAGCCAAGATGCCTGTAGGAAGCCCACAGCTAGACTCTCCTGCTATGGTGACTAATATTCAGAGGCACCAGCCTCTACTCCTGGTTGCCACCACGAGCCCTTGATAGATTTTTCTTCCATGAAGAAGTAACATGCTGTTACTTAACTGCAATGGATGCAAACAAGGCAGATTTCTTCTAGATGATGAGACATTTCTTCTAGATGATGCCTTCCAGACTTTTTAGCACCATAGTTTTAGTCCAAGTGGGGCAGGCTAGGGGGGAATTGCAAAAAAGAGTTAAATCTGGGGGGCAGCTTTCCCTTGAACCTGTTTTTTGGGGGGGCAATGGACTTCCCCACTGTGCCAGGACATACGGTAACTGATTTTGTTAACCCAACAGCCTTCTCGCTCAAGGAGCAGTCTTGATCCTTCTCCGCAACTGGGTGGTTTTGCCATTCCTCCATATCACGTTTCTAATCTGAGGTGATGGTTGTTGCTTCTTTCCTTTGCCAGGATGTTGACTTTCTTCGCTGTTGTTTTTGTTCTGTGCCTCATTTGTGTGCTCAGAGTTTTCTGACCTAGCATCTCCCAGGTCCGAGAAAGAACATGTCACTTCTTCCCAGCTTCATTTGTGCATCTTGGTCCATTCTGACATTAGCTGTTTGACCCATCTTGAGGATATAAGTTGGATTTTCAGGATTTCTTTCCAAAACTTCATATCGATGTCAGTGGCAGAAGTACTTCCTGCCTTGGGAAGGCCGTGGGTGGGGCTTTCTGCACACAACGGATAATGCCTTACACACATGCATACACACTTGTGTGGAAACACACACACACACACACACACACACACACACACACACACACAGCAGTGGGGTGACAGGTAGTATAAAAAGTGGAGTCCATGGATGCCCTTCCCATCTCCTCACAATTCTTGCATAGCTTTGATTCCCCCTCGCCCCCAAATACCTTCTGGGGGGGAAAATATATATTTTCTAAATCTTTGTTAACATTTCACTACAGAACTACAGTGGCTGGTTGAAAAATATCTAAAGCATATGCAAGCTATTTAAATCCTACAAAATCCATGTTTTGTCATTTACATCTATGGGGTATTTACCAGTATGCCACTTTTGTATACTGATAAACATACATAAGGGGGAAACGTTCTCCAGATTCTGGTTTTGTTTGGGGTTTTTTGCCTGGTGTTTTGGGGGAGGGCTCTCGATTCCTTATCTGTCATAAGGATGCAGCACACTGTGTGCTCAAAGAGGCATCTGGACTTCATCATAAACATCCCGGCCTTCTGTCTCATCAAAATCCACTTCAGCATCATCAGCATCCAACTAGAAGGAAATTTGAGGAGAGATATACTGTTAGAGGTGGTCCAGCAAACAGAGCACTATACTTGGATCTGAGAAACGTATGTCTTTCGCCTGTCAAGGATGGCTAGGTGGCCTTTGACAGTCATTACACATGAAGCTGTGTTATATATCAAAACAGGCCATTGGTCCAACTAGCCTAATACTGTCTGCTCTGACTGGCAGAGACTCTCCAAGGCCCCAGACAATGGCTCCCTTTCCCTGCTGTGCTATCAAGACACAAGACATATGCTCTTCCACATCTTGTGGTAGAGGATTCCAAGGTTTAACTATGTGCTGTGTAGAGAAGTACTTCCTTTTGGATCTCCTGTATCTCAAACCCTTCCATCTCCTAGCTGTGCCATGCAGAGGAAGATCAGTAGTAATGGGCAAGCTATCAGGGAGAGGTGGCCTGCCATTAAAAGGTAAAGGACCCCTGACAGTTAAGTCCAGTCGTGAATGACTTTGGGGTTGCGGCGCTCATCTCGCTTTACTGGCCGAGGGAGCCGGCATTTGTCCACAGACAGTTTTTCCGGGTCCTGTGGCCAGCATGACTAAGCCACTTCTGGCGAAACCAGAGCAGTGCACGGAAACGGCATGTACCTTCCTGCCGGAGTGGTACCTATTTATCCCCCCCTTCCCTCCCCGTTGTGATTGGCAAGCTCTAGGCTCAGTGGTTTAGACCACAGCGCCACCCACAAATACTCAATTTGAGAAATGCCTGTAGCACGTCTAAAGCACTCCACAGTTCCTTGGGACATGGTTTGAAAACCACCTCATAAAGCAGAAATGGAGAACTTCCAGGCTTCCAAGACCTTCAGCCAGCATGGTCAGTGACCAGAAATGATGGGAGTTGGAGTCTCAGCACATCTTGAAAGCCATAGGTTCCCCCTCCCTGGCATGGACAACACCCATAGCATATATGTAAAGCAGATGGCTTCTCCTAAAGGATGCTTGGAACTGTAGTTTGTTAACAGTGCTGGCAGTGGTAGCTTTGCAAGGGGTAAACTACAGTTCCCAGGATCCTTTGGGGGAAACAGCGTGCTTTAAATATATGGTGCGGATGTGACCTAATAGGGGGAAATCCAGGTTCTTTTTTTTTTTTTCCTTTATTTAGAAAAGATACACTCAAACACATACATACACAAAAGTTTCCATCATAGTAAAAACCAAGAAAAAAAGAAAAAGAGAAGAAAAAAGAAAAACAAAGGAGAAGAATAAAAGAAAAGATAACATACAATACTACAAATTCAAAAACTTCCGTCCAGCTTGGTTTTGGAATTACATAACCTTACAATTAAGTCGCAGTATTATTCAAACGTTATATGTCAATGCTTTTAATTATCGTCGATTGATAAATTACTTATACCCTGACTGCTTTCAAAATAAATTAAAAATTTGTTCCATTCGTCTTTGAGTTTAGCTGTGTTATTTTGTCTTATTTTTTGAGTTAATCTCGCTAGTTCGATATATTGGTATAACTTCATTTGCCACTCTCCGACCGTGGGTAGATCAGGAGTTTTCCATTTTTGTGCAATTTGAATTCTCGCCGCTGCCATAGCATATTGAATAAAGGTTTGATCTATTTTCTTTATTTCTTTACCAATCATTCCTAAAAGAAACAACTCAGGGGTTTTAGGAAAATTATATCTCAATTTTTTTTTCAATTCGTCATGTATTTGCTTCCAGAATACCTTCACCACATCACAGGTCCACCAAATATGAAAAAAGGTCCCAACCTTGTCCCTGCATCTCCAGCATGTATTATCCACATTTTTGTACATCTTTCTTAACTTTACTGGGGTCAAATACCAGCGATATATCATTTTCTCTAAATTTTCACGTAGAGCTACACATGCTGTAAATTTTACACCTTTTGTCCACAATATCTGCCAGTTTTTATACTCTATGACAGTGTTTCCCAACCTTTTTTGGGCAAAGGCACACTTCTTTCATGAAAAAAATCTCGAGGCACACCACCATTAGAAAATGTTAAAAAATTTAACTCTGTGCCTATATTGACTATATAAAAAGTACAGTGGTGCCTCGCAAGACGAAATTACAGTGGTGCCTCGCAAGACGAAATTAATTCGTTCCGCAAGTTTTTTCTTCTTGCGAGTTTTTCGTCTTGCGATGCACGGTTTCCCATAGGAATGCATTGAAAATCAATTAATGCGTTCCTAGGGAAACCGACTTCAGACCAGGTCCGGGGACAGTCTGTCCCCGGACCTCTTCTGAAGGCTGGGGGGGGGGACAAGGGCTTTTCTTCCCACCCCCAGCATTTTAAAAAACCCTGGGACAGCGGAGGGCTTCTCCGCTGTCTGGGGCGATCTTAAAATGCTGGCGGGCGGCATTTTAAAATCGCCCCGGACAGCGGAGGACTTCTCCGCTGTCGGGGCGATTTAAAAGCCCCTGGGAAGGCAGGCAGGGGGGACAAAGACTTTTGCCCCCCGCCAGCCTTCAGAAGAGGTCCTGGACCTCTTCTGAAGGCTGGCGGGGCGAAAGTCTTTGCTCCCCCCGCCTGCCTTCAAAAGCTGTCCGGCCCAGGCTTCCCGGACCTTTCCGCCAGCAGCGGCAGCGCTGCCGCTGCTGGCGGAGACTTGCCGGCATGCGAAGCCTGCGTGCAGCGCGCCCAGGCTTCACAGACCTCTCCGCCAGCAGCGGCAGCGCTGCCGTTGCTGGCGGAGACCTGCCGGCATGCCGAAGCCTGCGCGCAGCGCGCCCAGGCTTCGCAGACCTCTCCGCCAGCAGCGGCAGCGCTGCCGTTGCTGGCGGAGACCTGCCGGCATGCCGAAGCCTGCGCGCAGCGCGCCCAGGCTTCGCAGACCTCTCCGCCAGCAGCGGCAGCGCTGCCGTTGCTGGCGGAGACCTGCCGGCATGCCGAAGCCTGCGCGCAGCGCGCCCAGGCTTCGCAGACCCCTCCGCCAGCAGCGGCAGCGCTGCCGCTGCTGGCGGAGACCTGCCGGCATGCCGAAGCCTGCGCGCAGCGCGCCCAGGCTTCGCAGACCCCTCCGCCAGCAGCGGCAGCGCTGCCGCTGCTGGCGGAGACTTGCCGGCATGCCGAAGCCTGCGCGCGCTGACATCAGCGCGCCCAGGCTTCGCGGATCTCTCCTGCCTTCAAAAGCCGTCCGGGATAGCGGGAAGCGCTTCCCTGCTATCCCGGACTGCTTTTAAAATGCTGGCGCTGGGGAGCAAAGCCTTTCGGCCCCCGCCAGCCTTCCTGGACCTCTTCTGAAGGCCGGAGGGGGGGGAAAGGCTTTGCTCCCCACCGCTAGCATTTAAAAGAGGAGATTTCCCGCCCCACCGCCCGGCATCGGGGCATCGTTCCGATGCCCAGCGGCGGGGTGCGAGGTTCCCGCCCCACCGCCCGGCATCGGGGCATCGTTCCGATGCCCGGCGGCGGGGGGAGAGGTTCCCGCCCCACCGCCCGGCATCGGGTCATCGTTCCGATGCCGGTGGCGGGGGGAGAGGTTCCCGCCCCACCGCCCGGTATCGGGGCATCGGCGGGGGGAGCAGCGCTCCGAAGCGGGGCGGCTGGGGCAGGTGTTCCCGCCCCCCCCGCCCCGCTTCAGAGCAGCGTTCCGAAGCGGGGCGGCTGGGGCAGGTGTTCCCGCCGCCCGCTTCGGAGCAGCGGGAGAAGCGATCTCCCCGCAGCCCCTTGCTTCAAAAGAGGTCCGGGGGCAGCGCGAAGCGCTTCCCGCTGTCCCCGGACCTCTTTTGAAGCAAGGGGCGGTGGGGAGAAGCGATCTCGGACCTCTTTTGAAGCAAGGGGCGGTGGGAGAAGCGATCTCGGGCGCTGCCTCTCCCGCCTCCCTCCCACGGCACACCAGGCAAGGTCTCACGGCACACCAGTGTGCCGCGGAACACCGGTTGGGAAACACTGCTCTATGATATGACCAAGATCTTTTTCCCATTTTACCAACGCTCCCTTCACCAGATCTTCCTTAGTGTCCCACTCCAATAATTGTTTGTACATTTTGGAGAGGAGTTTTTCATTACTCTCCAAAATTTCCACCTGGTACCTTGATTTTTTTCCACTAAAACCCATTCTCTTGTGCTCGCCCCATAAAGCATTAATCTGATGATAGAGCAACCACTCTTTTATTCTGCCTTTCAGCTGTTCATAAGGCTTCACCTTCCATCCTGCTTCTGTCTTAACTAAAAGGTCCTCATATGTGCATCTTTCATCAGACATGTTTATTTTCTTACTTATTATAATATCAGTTGGGGACAGCCACCCTGGAATGCCTTTTTCGATCAATTTTTTATACCTCTTCCACACCTCTAGCAATGAGCCTCTAATTACATGGTTGGAGAAGCCTCTATGAACTTCCCCTTTCTCTTGCCAGAGGTAGGCGTGCCACCCGAATCTAATATTAAAACCCTCCAAGTCCAATAAATCTGTATTTTGGAGGGTGGCCCACTCCTTTATCCAACATAGACAGGATGCTTCATAGTAGAGTCTAATGTTCGGGGCTGCAAAACCACACCTCTCTCTTGAATCTGTCAGGTATTTAAATTTTATTCTTGCTCTCTTTCCCTGCCAGATGTACTTGGTCAGGGTTTTTTGCCAGCTCTTAAAGAGGGAGGTGCCTTTAATAATCGGGATATTTTGAAACAAAAATAATAGTCTCGGAAGGATACACATCTTAATTGCAGACATTCTCCCTGTCCATGATAATTTCAGTCTGTGCCAGGTATCCATATCTTTTTTAATATCCTGCCAGGCCTTACTATAGTTGTCTTCGACCAAATTTATATTTTTTGGTGAGAGCCAAATTCCCAAATACTTGACTTTATTCGCAATTTTAATACCACTTTTTTCTTCTAATTGGATTTTATCCTGTTCTGTCATATTCTTTGTTAGAATTTTTGTTTTTTTCCTGTTTAATCTAAAGCCCGACAGTCTACCAAATTCCTCTAGAAGTTCTATAACCCTACTTGTGCTGTCCACTGGATTCTCCACGGACAAGACCAGATCATCGGCGTAGGCTTTAAGCTTAAATTCTTTCTTTCCAATTTTTATCCCCCTCACATTTACTACCTCTCTTATTCTATTTGCAATTACTTCCAAAATCATTATAAATAACAAGGGGGACAAAGGACAGCCTTGCCTCGTACCTTTCTGAATCTTAAAGGGTTTAGTCAAGTTATCATTTATAATCAGTCTGGCCTGCTGCTCCGAATATATAGCCCTGATACCTTTCATGTAAGGACCTTCAATACCTGCCTTCTCCAGACATTGTGATAGAAATTCCCAGGAGACATTATCAAAAGCCTTTTCGGCGTCTATAAAGATCAATGCTGCAGGGAATATATGGTGCGGATGTGACCTAATAGGGGGAAATCCAGGTTCTATAAACAAACATTTCCCACAGGGACCACTCTAAAAATCACAAGCTGTTCCCCTGCTTCTTCCTATTTAGGCCACGCAGAGACCTGAATCTAAACCTCCTGTTGCTCAGCCAAACGATACTTACATACTTGAGTTCAACATTGCTGAAGAAACATGGCAGCAGGTAGCGTCTCACAGGCACTGTCAGGATGAGGACGAAAGGCAAGGCGAGGGAGGCTGGGGTGGTTTTCACTACCCACAGCAAGACCAGGCACAAAATCTGCGTGAAGGTGAAGAGGTGCATCCGCAAAGGCTTTACCTTTAAAGGAAGAAGACCCAAGAAACAGTCAGAGGTGTCAGCAGTCTACCTGTCTCCCGTCTGACAACCAAGGTCTGTAGACAGATAGATAGCATGGTTCTCAGCCGACAGCTCTGTTGGTAGAGCATGAAACCCTCATGGGTCTGAGCCCCACATTTCTCCATTGCAGGAGGTTGAATGATCCTCATGGTCCCTTCCAACTCCATGATTCTACGATTCATGAAGCCCAGTTAAACCACTGAAAGTTCAGAAGCAATCCTCCTTTCAAAATAAAATGGCCAAGTCATACCATTCAGTATGCCTCAACCTTTCTCTGTGTGTGCATCTTCCTATGAAGCTGCCAAGCACCGATTGAGGCCATTGAAACCGCCTAGCCTGTGATGGTTCACCCTGATTGGCCATGGACCTCCAAGGCCTCAGCACTGCTACCTAAGGCCTCTTTAGCTGAAGAGACTGAACCTGGAAGTTTCTGTATGTGATGCACATGCTGTACCCCTGAGCTACAGCCCCACCTGGGGCTATTTCAGTGCATTTCTCTTTGCAACGAAGTTCTAAACTGGGATGGCGGGCCTTAATGTTACTTGGAGGCCATCATCTGCCTCTTCTCACCAGCAAACCTTCCTTCCGCCTTCCTCTGTATCACTGGGCAGCCATGTTGTCAGATGCACTTTTGTGCTTCATTATGACTCCCATGTCTTCTGGTTCAGTTTGAAGGCACAGAAAACAGACTCCAGAACTAAGCCATGGTGAATCCCGTATTGATCCAAGCCTCCAGCTGGAGTTAAGCTGAAATCAGGCCCCTAAGAACTCTACGATTCTTAAAATTTTAGGTTCAAGATCAGAGAAAAGAATGGTCAATTGGGATGGGGGGGGAGAGAACTAAAGAGGCTCCAGCTTTTCTGGAAACTATATTTTCTGCCACAAAAGTACTTCGCTCCCTCTCTTATCCCACGAGTGACTCATTTGACAAAGCAAATATACTTTCTACATGCTCAGAGGCATCCTGAATACTTTTCAAGTTTCAGCTAGAGCCCTGACATTAACACACAGGGCCAGGCTCTACAACTGATCACCAGGTCTACTGAAGCCTTTTAGGTATATCCATGACTATCAGGGACCCCATATGATTGTTTCAAACAGTAGGGTTCCTACCCTGCGGGGATTTATCTGTTTCGGCCACCACAGCTCTCCCTGAACCTCCAAGCATTACTTTCTCTGATCCCCTGGGCTTACCTTTCTAACGTAAGGCACATCCGGGTAGTATTTGGGCGGCTTCAGCATGAGAAGGATTCGGTCATAAAGCTGGATCCCATTTAGGGATGTCACCCCCATGTACAGGAAGATGCCAAAGAGCACGGAAAGTGGAATGAGCTTCAGGATGGGCTCCATGAAGATGGAAAGGCCTGCAGGAGGGTAAAAAGCAATGGCACATGTTACTTAGGATGGCACGCCTTCAGCTGGAAGGTGACACCAATGGAGCTCTCCTCCCCAATTGGAAGACACACAAAGAACAATCACCACCCAGCAGTTGCTATACTTGAGCAAGCCAACTGTCCATCTGGCTCTCTGTTCTGTCTACCAAGAGTTACAAGTTAAGATACCACAGCAGAACTTGATGGCGATAATTAATCCCCTGTTCATTATTTCCCCAGCATCTGGTTTTCAAGATGTCACCAAGCATGGGGGTTGCACCACTTCTTATCATGGCTAGTAGACCTAGTAGCCGCCTCGATGGCTTTATCCAGTTCTTCTCAAAATAAACTTACTCCAGAGACTATCAGAACATGGCAATGAGATCCACGGGTGAATTAAGGATTTGTGAGAACAGGTACCTGTATTTCCTCAAGGGCATTCATAAATCTGCTACCTATCAAGTCCAGCAGATTATTCATACTAGTTTGACACTGAACCCATAATTTCCCCTCTTTCATCCAGCCCTTCCACGCCTCTTTCATCCAAAGCTGGACAGTGCCAAGCTACAAGAGGCAGGGCAGAAACTGGGGGTGGGGATGCTTTCCCAGTGTCTGCCCCATTCATATATAACCACAGGGTAAACCTGTGGCCCTCCAAATGTTCTTGGACTCCAAGGCCTATCAGCTCAAGCCGATATGTCCAGTAGTCGGGAAACATGGGAGATGCAGTCCAACAACACCTGGGTTCCCACGCATGATGTATAAAGCGAGTGATAAAGTTTTTGGTGAAAAGCGAGAGCTGGCTTGAGAGAAAAGTGCCTAAGTGGAAGCAAAGGAGTGCAGGGCAGTAAGGTGAGGGATGTTCAGCTCTTCTCATCTCTCTGCACTCCTTTTGATGGGAAAATTAGACACCTTGCCACACCCTGCTTTATGAGAGAACAGGGAAGAAATAGGAGCAAACATGCCTGCCCAAAGCTATACAGCAGCTTAGGGCCTTATCAGGATCACTTGGCAACTGCCTTGGTAACCTCGAGACTGGATAACTGCAACACACTCAATGTGGAGCTGCCGTTGGGCCTAGTCCAGAAGCTCCAGGCAGAATGTAGCAGTGACACTGTTGATGGGAACAGGCACCTGAGAGGAACTTCTGCTGCCCATATGCTACTGGGCTGGATTCAAGGCGTTGAAATACAAAGCCCTGAACAACTTGGCTCCAGGAAAACCTAAGGAACTCCTGAGCTCTTTACATCACTGAGATCAACCAGAGGAGCACTGTTACTTATTATTTGCGTTTCAGAGACCTGACAGGTGGTCAACTACAAATCAGGCTTTTAGTGTCACCAATCCCATGCTAATGGAACACTCTTCCAGCAGAGATTTGGGAAGCATCCTCATTTTTTTACTGTCAGGCATCTTTTGAAGACCTTTTTATGCGGGTAGGCCTTTGCAGCTGTTTAAATTTTTGTTAGCCACTCACCTTTTTTTTACATTAAAATTATTATTTATTAAATTGATATGCCACCCTTCACCTGAAGAGCACAATATTAAAAACCCAATAGTATTACAGCACTAACAGCAGCAATATATAATTGTGTATCAGACAGGTGCCTTCAGTATTGCCTAGTTGGTGTCTGCTCTTTCAACAGACCTCATTAAATATTTATCAGTAAACCTTTTTTGTCATTTATGAATTAGTTTTTATTAAAGATATTCTTGTGTTAGCCACTCACCGTAATAATTATCTGTATTTTTATTTTTTTAGATCGTATTCTACATTTCAACATTGTACACCTCCCTGATATTTTATATGGCAGTATAAAAATACTTATTTTGTAAGTAAATAGTATCTACTTTGATCCCCTAGACACCCCCAAAATTGGAATCTGTATCAGAAGAACTCACCTACAAGAATGGCCACCAGCAAGCCAGTGATCCTTTGCTCCTTGACTTCCTGGACATGGGCCTTCTCCCCTGGGACTGTAGTCTTGGACATCACCGTCAGGGCATTAGCATGTGTGACAGTCCTCACTGTGGTGGCACTGAGCCAAGGTGCGCCGAAAAGGGGTGCGATACCCCCCAAGCCAACAATTAGAAGCAGGTCTAGATGGAAACCTGAACCCTTCACCAGCTTCCTTTCAGGTTTGCTCACAATCAGCCTGAAGAAGAATAAGAAGAAGGGGGCAGGGAGGAAATGAAGAAGAAAGTGGGTTGCGGGCAGCTAAATCCTACACAGAGAGTAGAACCACGGAAATTAATAGTTTACCCATGCCCATTATTTCTAATGGGTCAACTCTGGGTATGACTAGCGTTGGATACAACCTAATATTTATTTGACATGATTCTATGACAGATTGGACATCCCAACAACTGTGATATAACTAAGCATTGCTACCAGGTGACAACTCAAAAGTGGCATCTGCGTACAGGGACATTGATAGGGGCTGGCTCAAATGTCCTAAGCTTTGGGTCTTTTATGCCAGTGAGACTTGTATTTGCCCAGAGGCACATACAACAGCTGGGTGGAGAGGGGAAGGTAGTGCATGCGTGTGTGAGAGAGTGATCCTGTTTTCTTTTTAACATGCCCATAAGAAGCATTTATTGCCAAAGCAATTCAGGTGGGATGGAGGTGTCCAATTCACATATAAGTATACTGGGTGTAGAAAATCACATTGGAATGCCATAGCTCAGAGTAAGCCCTCACAGCAGGAGACATAGCTTGTTTTTCTTCTCTGAGTTACGTTTGCAGCTATGCTTATAAATTAGCATATGCAAATGTTATTCAAATCTGTATTGGTGTCTGCTCTTTCAACAAACCTGATAAAATATTTATCAATAAACCTTTTTTGTTGTTTATGAGTTCGTTTTTATTAAAGAGACAGCTTTCCAGGTCAAGTGGCCAGCATGACTAAACTGCTTCTGGAACAACGGAACACCATGATGGAAGCCAGAGCGCACAGAAACGCCGTTTATCTTCCCACTGCAGCGGTACCTATTTATCTACTTGCACTGGCGTGCTTTCGAACTACTAGGTTGGCAGGAGCTGGGACAGAGCAATGGGAGCTCACCCTGTCGTGGGGATTCAAACCGCTGACCTGATCGGCAAGCCCAAGAGGCTCCAGTGGTTTAGACCACAGCACCACCCGTGTCCCAAGTACCTAGCAACACCCTCACCGCAGTATATACAAAACTTGACCCTTGTGGCTGCTTTTCTTTCCTATACACTCTCCAAATTCCTTACGTGGTGATCTGTGACTCCAAGAAGATGAGGATGAAGACCAAGAGGGCTGGCACAACGGAAGCGAGCGCCATCCACCAGGGAAACGCCCCATCTTCTCCAAGTGGATGAACAAACCAGCTCCTTGCTGGATGGGTGGTATCAAGGCCTTTGGGGACTTTCAGTTTCTGTGAGGAAACAAGCAAAATGAATACGGATGAACTCTAGTTCTGTTGGCCCCCAGTGCAGGAAGCGCCACATTATTTTATGCTGACAACCCCAGACAGGAAAGTGAGCCAGTGCTCATTTTTTCTGCTCGGAAAGGATATCAAAAACTGGAATCCACTGGACTTAGACAGAAGGAAGGAGAGGGTGCTACTGATAGTGACCAGCTACTCACCTGACTATAGGTGGTTTCAATAAAGTAGTCTACCAATGCCATGAGGAAGATGGCAATAGGGACACCAAAGTCACCAATCACACGGCGGATCTGTCAAAAAATAAGAAGTAAGAAAGAACCACAGTAATTCAGCAATATAGGGCTGGAGGTGAGAGGTGAATAAGACCAGCTGTATCTTTGGAAATGAGATAGAACAGAGGTTCTCAGCTACCAGGGCAGGCATCCACACTGACCCTGGAGACAAAGGAAATATAACTAATTCAGTTTTAAAAGTTTTGATCTGATTATGAGAAATATGACCTTCCCCTTCAAACATGCGAACAGTGTGGAACTTAAAAAAAAAGGGTAATACTGCCAGAGACTGTTTTTGTTGGGTGATTTACAGACCTCAATGTTGATAAGGTAATGTTGAGACTCATCTTAAAAGGGGGACAAACTAAGAAACTGCACCAGCAACCCTTTAGTCATATATTGTGACTGATACACTGGGCTGTGCATATTCTGCAGTCAAAACAATTTCATACCACAGCTGCACCAAATTCTGCAAGTCATATTCGGCTGTTCTGTCAGCATGCTTTTAATTTTGGTGATTTTAACGTTCTGTAATGTGTTTTGATGTTATATATGGCCCTGGGATCATTTGATAAAGGGCAATATATAAATTGAATTCATCATCGCCATCATCATTTTGCATTTTAAGCACATTTGCTTACATTGGTAAAATTTATGCTACTTCTTTGGTAGGCTACAGCACAATGTTACGCATTTTTAACTGGAAGTTAAATCCCACTGGGTTCCGTGGGGGAATTATCCCCATGTAAGTGTGCATAGTATTGTAGCCTTAGTCACTGGAATGAAAGGGCTGCAGAGGCAACCCTGTCTGTTTCATTGAAATCCTGCTTTTTCTCCTTTTTGGCTTCTGTGAAGTTATTGCCCATACACTTTTACATGTGCCTCTACAGCATCAGAGCTTGGTTTTTACCAAAACAGGTTTTTAAGATGTTGAATTCTATGCCTAGTATAACTCCAAGGGCCTTCTGGCGGTGAGGCAAGAAGCGAGGTTAACAGGGAACCAGGCAGAGGGCCTTCTCGGCAGTGACGCCCACCGTGTCAAACGCCCTCCATCAGATGTCAAGGAGATAAGTAACTATACAACTGTTAGAAGGCACCTGAAGGCAACCCTGGTTAGGGAAGTTTTTAATGTTTTATTATGTTTTTATATATGCTGGAAGCTGCCCAGAGTGGCTGGGGGCAACCCAGTCAGGTGGGTGGGTACAAATAATAAAATGATGGTGATGATTAAAGAAAACTTAGTTGATGAGGCGATTAATGGATTGAACATGCATCAACTTCCTTATGCAAAAAAAAGTATATTTTGGTTTTAGATGATGCACACATCTATTGCAGCAAGTATATTAGAAGAGGCTTTCCTTCTTATCTCTAATATCAGAAGCAATGCTTCTTAAAAGATAGCACCTGCCATATCTGGTTTTTATAAGTACTTATAAAATCTGCTTTCCAATTGGCACGTTATAAATTGATTATTCTAATTGATGAAACATTGCAGCTCTGTTTATTACTTTTTAATAGTTCAGGTACAATGTGGTAGGAATGCTAAGGAAGCCCCATTTATTCTAAACCAATTTGCTGACCAAAATACTTCTCCCAGTGTCTTGTTGCTTCAGTTTGAAGTCTGCCCTTTGCTATTTAAATCCAGTTGTAGGTTGGCCATTATACAGAGACAGAACGAACTTGCGAGTGCAGGCACAGACTTAAGCCGTCCCCTTCCAAAATCCCCAAACATGCCAAAGTCCTACTTCACTCGTGCAATGTAGGATTTACCTTGCCAGGAAAGAAACTGCTGTTCTTGAATTGGCGCAAGAAAAAGGCGATGAAAAACGTTCCTGCCATGAGGATAAGGGCAAGCAGGGCTGTGTTGGGTACAGGATAGTCTGGATCCCCATTTAGAACAGTGATGTTATAGGCTGGCTGCAGAGGGAATTTCTCAAAAATCTGTAAGAGGGAAGATGTGTTAGAATGTGGAATGGACAGTGGGAAGAACTTGAGACGCCATACAACACAGCCAACTAAAATTAGTACACGTGCCCACACCACCACCCAAATCATGTTGTTATGTGCAACAAAATAATTCCTACCCTTCTCCCGCAGCACACAAGTAAGTCTTAGACCTGGTCTACGTATGAAGCAGAGGGAGGTGATAGAGTTGACTGCACCATTTTAGAATACAGGCAGTGGGGGTACCATTTTGAATCCCCATCGTGTAAAAGAAAGAAAGAAGTGTCCCTCCACCTTCAGTCTGAAATCATACCGCGAATTCTACTACCTCAGATCTCTAGCACTTCGCTCCGCTGCAAACATAGATCAGGCCTAGTTTATGTTGTGAACCACCCTGTGATCTTTGGATGAAGGGAGGCATACAAATTTAGTCAATAAAATAAGTAACAAAAATATATTGTGCAGACCACAATGCTAACAGGGACTCAAGATTGAAACCTCTGCCCCTGTTCTTAGGCCCTTGCCCCGCATTTCTGCTGCTTATCCTTCAAACATCTGTCTCCGAAAGGCTCGTCTCCTATGCACTTAGTCCACCCAGTCTAATTTCTAAACATTTGCTAGAGCTCCATTTCATTCTTCCTACATGTTTTCAATCTCTCCTTTCTTGCTTTTGCTCTTCAGTTTCTATGGAAACCATGTCATGACAGCCTCGCTTCCTGTGGCCAAATTGTTACCAGGGAGGGGCAGAGGGAGAGGAGGGGCTACCTATAGCAATTCTAGAGGATTTCAGAAGGTGGAGACTGTACAAGGTGTCACCGTCGTCATAAAATGTAGTTATGCATGGTCAAAGATTTGGGGGCAGTGGAGAGGGAGGGAAACGGTGTAACAAGCTGAGACAAAAGGACATCTCTCAGTAGCAGAAATGCAGTAATACCCAGGGAACATCAATTGAGATTAACAGAGCACATATTAATGCAGGTAGGAGATACACTGTTCGCTTATGGACTTAGTGGGTGGCTTTGGATAAAGTCTTGTGCCTCCCTGTCTTGGTTTTTCCATCTGTAAAATGGGGATAAAAGTGGCAGGGCTGGTTGCCACAGGGAACAAACATGCAAATGACTGCATACTTGCAATAAAAAAACCCTTGCAACTTTGGTTGAAAAAAGCTTGTGGGAATAAGATCTGAGAACCTCAAAGCCTGTCTCTTGCTCACCTGATGACCCAAAACAATGGGATGGAGAACACTGAGAAAGATGCTTGAGGTGCAAATGACTAACATGAAACACAGCTGCTGTTTTTCACATATTGCCTCCGAGACAACGGTTAATTAAAGAAGCAGCATGACACCATCAAGCTCTGAAATGGAGTGAGGCAGGCAGAAACCGAGCAAGCTGCGAGAGTTATAATGAACAATAACTGGTTTAATATCTTGGTTTCTGTTATATAGTTTTTAGTTTGACATCCATCTTGGAACCACTCCCAAAGGCCATAGGCATGCTCAGTTCCAAATTTTTCCTCAAGAAACACTTTTGGCCACTAGGTGGCAGCTTCGTAAACATACCGGTACCTTACATTCTTACACGCATACCGTGTGTCTTTAACAAAACATTGTAGGGAAGATGCTGTGTGTTCCTTGTAACATACGGTTTGGGCCTGAGCTTCCCTGTGCTCCTTTGGGAGGAAGTAGTTTCCTCAGTCGCAGAGCTAAAACTCCAAGCTCTGGACCATACAATTTACAGTTTCCAGGATTTTTTTGAGGGCAGTCTTGTGCTTTAACTGTATGGTGTGGTCTGCCTGAAGACAACATGAAAAGTCTGAAGACGAGTCATTTTTCATGCTCAGAACTCAAGACCAAGAGCCCAGCCACACTTCCATTTGCCCTGTGATTTCTGGTCACAGAGCTGAAATTGAGTGACATTAGGCATGGCCTTTTGGAATGGATGTCGGATGGCAAAGGGCCTTTTCAGGTGTAGATAGTCTTGGCGGCAAGACCGCGATTTTGTGGCCTCGGGTGGCGGTTTCAGGCCTTGGGCAGTATCCTTTAGTCTATCTTCCTAAATGGGAGGGGGCGTGAAGCAGTGACTCACCCCCCCCCATGTGGTGGTGATCCCAGGGTTCCCCGTTAAAGGGGTCGTTTTGAGGGGAGGCATTGGCCATATGCCAAGAGGTTGTCATTGCTCTCCCCTGCAATGGCGGCGAAACGGGGGGTGGGCTCTCTGCTTGAACATATGTTCTTCAGAGCCAGCCCAATCCCCACACATTCTGGATAACCCTGATGTCTCCCAGATCCCCAGCTGGGGACTGGGAAGGATAAATGCCCAATGCCTGAGCCAAGGTCTCCCTGCATCTGAAACCTAATAAAGTTGTGGCAATTTTAATCCCATAGCGCATTTTCTTGAGTCATTATTCTGCTCGGGGGTTGCCTGGGGTTAGGGGGACTCCGCCTGTCCATGTAGTAGTAATAATAATAATAATAGTAATAATGCCTCTTGGACAAATGATAATGTGGATGGGCCCCAAATCTCTCAGGATCCAGCATTCAAGCACAAAGGAAGCCAAGCCACACATGAGACAATGGAAAATAGGTACTATGTACAGCTCAGTGCTCAAACACGGCCATGACGGACCAACTTTCAGCCCTGCCTCACAGGTCTTGAGGAACCCTGCGGCCATGAAGCAGCCTGTTCCTTGTGCCAGCAAAGCTGCTCCCTCACAAAAGCAAAGGAAGGGAGGGAGGATGAAATATAAGCCATGTTACCTTGTAGAGTTTGAAGAAAGTCTCGTAGATGAAGATGAGGGAGATGAGGAAGGAGAAGATCTCCTGGGTGTAGCGGGAGATGTAACGTACCAGGAAGCTGCCCTCAAAAGCCACCACCACCAATACCAATATTATAAGCCAGAGGCCGATCCAGACTCTCCCCGGATGGTACTCGATTTCTAAACTCTGACAAAACTGTGTAGAGAGAAACGGGTGGGGTGCAGAGAGGAAAGCAACGGAGAAGCTAGTGAGATGTTGATGGTTCTTTCCCCCTCAGCTGAACTTGCTCTGGAATTAAACAGCTATCCAGAATGTAGAGTATTGGCCCTTCTTGTGATACACTACATGGGCCATGCTGAAATCTTGTAGCCCGTTCCTCCTGTGAAACCTGCATAGACATTTATAGCCAGGTCTGTGTACAGTGGTACCTTGGGTTAAGTACTTAATTCGTTCTGGAGGTCCGTTCTTAACCTGAAACTGTTCTTAACCTGAAGCACCACTTTAGCTAATGGGGCCTCCTGCTGCCGCCGCGCCGCCAGAGCACAATTTCTGTTCTCATCCTGAAGCAAAGTGCTTAACCTGAAGCACTATTTCTGGGTTAGCAGACTCTGTAACCTGAAGTGTATGTAACCTGAAGCATATGTAACCCGAGGTACCACTGTATAGTGCACAGGTGCTTCTGGTCACAACAAGCAAGCAGAGTTTGGTACATGTGAGGTTCAACATCTTAAGAATCTGAGCTTTGTTCTTTTAAAAGGACGCAAGTTTCTACCATTTATGATAGGAATGTGAATGTTTTTAGACTCCCAGTTCCCATCCATCCCTGATCATTGGTCATGTTGGCTAAGAAGTCCAACAACATCTGGAGGGCAAGATGCTCCCCACCCCGTCTTAGGGTTATGGAAATATACCTGCAAATGCTCAGGCAGAATGGTTTTACTGGATCAAAAGCTGCCTAATCTAGCATTCTGTCTCCATCTGTGATCAGCTAGAACCACCTGGAAAGTGGTTAGGGTTCTATGCTGTTCTTGGTAATTAGAGATATGCTGCCTGCAAACATGGAAGTTCCATTTCATGGAACAGCTAAAGACCATGAATAATAGAACTGTCCTCCATTTCGAATTCGCCTGTTTTAAAAGCAATGTAAACTACTGTAATGGTCCTCACTACATCTTATGGTAACCATTGAATGGACAGGTGATCTCCATTGATTGGCAGGGTGGATCTGGGGACTGCATAAGTTTAAAGAAGCTTTTCAGTGTGTTGAAACAAGTAATCATTCAACAGGGATGTTATTTATAGCAGGATACCTACCCCATAAAAGGCTTCTTCAAAGACCAGAAGGGGACCAGAAAAGCCAATCACAAGCAAAGGTTGAGCTCCAAGCAAGCAGAAGATGACGCCCTGGACTGCTGTGGAGATCAGAAGCTCAGATACTCCCATCTGCTTCTCAGTCTTCTCACCTGGAAGCAACAGCAGATTATAGGCAAGAAAGAAGAAACCTGGGGTGTTTCCTGCTTTAAGAAACTTAAGAGATCTAACTGGCACATCAGTAAGAGGGCTGAAAATTTTTGAACTGGAGATGGACAATGCTTCTTCTTAAGAGAAGTTTAACTTCTCAAGGCGCATCCTTATTTCTTTTGTCTTGCTGTTGATAAAACAGAACAAAAGCCTGCTTGTCGAAGCTGAAAGTGACATGAGTGGAGGCACACCATGAGCAAAAATCCCCAGCCTTAATTACTGTAATGAGTTTGGGGTTGTGGGTGGCCTTGGTTTTCAGGGTCCCCTCCAATCCTGTGATTTTATAGCTGTAAGACAGGATTCTGCAAAAGAAACAACAACCAGGGAGGGGGCGACTGCTAAAATGGTCAAACTATTTTCCTTGCTAAGTAAATAACCAGGTCTATTAAGTATCTGCTTTGTAATGTAAGCTAGAGATCTTTACGGAAGGTGTGCCAGAGTATATCTTTCTTATTCTTCCCCGATCCCCTGGCTGGAGGAGATGTCACCAAGGTCTCTTAGTTTACCAGCATCCAGCCATTAAAAGAATAAAATAAATGTCAAAAAATAAATTTCACATAGTTGAAGATCAGTAGCATAGGAGTGCCTGCGACCCAAAGGTGATACAGATGTTTTTGTGCTTTAAATTGCTTTTATAACTATTTACTTTACATGTAAGCTATGTTGCTTATGGGAATAGTGGTATAAAACTGTTCTATAAGCAAATCAGTCAGCAAGCAAGACATGGAAGTAGCCTCTAATAGGGTTTTTCTGGCATAATTTTCTAGCTGTTGTTCATGTGGCCAAGTCCCAGTGGTGTCACAAGGGGGGTGGATGGCACCCCCCCCGGTGCCATGTCTGTAGGAGTGACAAGAAGGCACCCCATGGGGTGCTCACCCCACCACCCCTGGGCGCAGCAGTGTGAACAGCCATCGCACCACCGCAGCCACATGTGGAGGATCCTCCATTCATGGCTGAAGCTGCGAGCAGAGGATCCCACCACCATCTGTAGGGCGTTCGAGTGGCACCGGCGGCAAACCGCTACGTACAATGCATGCATGGTGTTGCATGCATGCGCTGTACGTAGCGACGCCGTACATGTGCTGTACATAGCAGTTTGCTGTCGGCACCGCCCGAGCGCTGTACAGATGGCGGTGGGATCCCTCCCTCGCCACTACAGCCAGAGGATCCCTCTGCCGCGGCTGCAGCCGCGAGCAGAGAATCCCACTACTGTCCGTATGGCGCTTAGGCGGCGCCGGCGGCAAACCACTGCGTACAACACGTGCCCGGTGCCGCACGCATGTGCTGTGCGTAGCAATGCAGCACATACGCCCTACGTAGCGACACCACACATGCGTTGTACGTAGTGGCACAATGCATGCGCAGCCGGCGGTTTGCCCCACCCTGGGTGTCGGTCAGCCTTTGTTCGCCCCTGCCATGCTCCACCTACATATGAGAAGGATGTGGAGAAAACAAACAAACAAACCAGCATAGCCCAACCTGCTGGGAAACTTTATGTCATTCTACTTCCCGTCCTGTTTTGTCCAGCAGAAACTCAAGAGGGGAAGTGGTGCTGAGCTGCTGGGAACTCCAGTTTGATGCAATATTTTCCTCGTTTTCATAACAATACTTCCCCACTGCTAACCAGTTTGTGATTACTTGTCCGGGTGCAGCAAGCAGCCCCAGCTCCCTTACCCAGAAGGCCTCCAAAGGTAATGGCAGGAGAAAGGGCAGCAAAGTAGATAAAGATGACGGCAGCCAGAGACTGAGCATTGAGAGCGTCCGTGATGTCACTGAGGTATTTGGGGTACCGGCGTTTTATGTCCCTCACCAGCCCTCCGAAAGGCCTGCCAGTCCTGCTCAAGGGGTCATCATCATCCTTTTCTGGGGTCTTGAAGGCTTGGCCCTGCAATTCTTGCTCTGTATGAGACAAAAGAACACAGGGAATGACAAGGCTGAATGAATGAAGTGAAAAGAGGACTGATGTTTTACTGGGGGCCTCAATAGGGTTGTAAGCCTCATTTTTTGCGAACATAGGTTTTGCGTTATGTGGAGCTCATGAGTTTCATCCCAAATCTTGTGGGAAGCGCTTAAGGCAGCGGTGAGGATCCCCACAACAGGTCTCCACATTTGGCCCGTGAGGAGGTTTGGCAAAGCTACACACACCTGCCCTACACCTGACATTATCTATGACATTAGGTGTGGGGCAGCTGCAGGGATGAAGAATTCTATTTGGTTCTTGTTTAAAGCTGAATCCATCAAATTCAGGTTCCAAAGCAATGTGAGAACCAAAGCATAACCATCCTCTGAAATTCTCACTTACCTGAATTTTGCAATGCAGTTCTACAACCAAGCAATGTTTACAAAAATGCATTCATCAAAGGAAAGTATGCATAAAAATGAATATATTAGTAAAAATAGTGTTAAAAATGCACTCTATTAGAAGTTGTTTTAATGTGTACATTAGTCAAACCTGCATACAAAATGAGTTTATTAGACACTTCTTAAAATCAATAAAAATACATGTATAAAAATATGTATGCTTAAAAATGCTGCAAATGAAATTAAGCCATGTGGGAGCAAACACACCAAACTGTTTTGGGTGATAACAGGTCGCCTGATGTCACTGTAACATCAGGTGATTGAAAGCTGGGTGGCCCTGCTCACCTATCAAACTTGGGAGGTAAGAATATAGAGTTGTAGCCAACTAATTCCTGCTCAGAGTAGGCCCCATGAATTAGCGAACTTAATTTAGTAACTTTACATTAACGGGTCTACTGTGAGTGAGACTAACATTGGCAGAGGCATGTGTCACTGAGCACGTTCATAGTGTTTTTCATCAGCGCTAATCTACTTAATATTTTAAAACTCTCTACGTGATATACAAATATACAACACCTGAGAAGTACCATAGCTCAGGGAGAGCGCATCTGCTTAGCATGCAGAAGGGTCTAGGCTCAATGTTCGGCATCTCCAGGTAAGGCTAGGAGACCTGTCTGAAATCCTGGAGGGCCACTTCCACTTAGGGCTCATCCAGACCCCCTTTTGTGTCGCATTTCTAGGCTTTTAATGTTTGGTGCTTTATTATGTTTTTATATATGTTGGAAGCTGCCGAGAGTGACTGGGGTAACCTAGTCAGATGGGCAGGGTACAATTATTATTATTATTATTATTATTTGCAGGTCTGCACTTTGAATCTCCGTGTCCAAGTGCTTTGTTTTGCCCCGGTGCTTTCCCTATGAAAACCCTCTCTTTACCGCAGACAATATTTCCACTGAAAACCTGAGTTGCTGTTTGTTCCAATTCCGCGTCAAAGAGCAGGTTTTCCTGGGGAAAGCAGTGGACATGGACCAGGAAAGCACAAACCTGTGCTTAGAAAGTGCGGGGCAAAACGTAAGTATGGATGGGCCCTTAGTGGAAGCAATATTGAGCTAGATGACAGAATCATCTGATTCAGCCTAAGGCAGCTTCCTAGGTTCCCTAGGTATGCTTGCTAGCAATCAGGCAAAGTTCCCTGCAGATCACCCCACAGTGATTCATACATACCAAGCTGTTTGGTGAGCTCCGTCCTCTCCTCCGGCCGGTACCTTTTTCGCAGGAGCTCCTTCTGCACTGGAAACAACGACTTAAGGAGCGTTTCACTTTGGATATGAGAGGGCGGGACGACGATGCAACAGTCCAGGTATGCATCCAGGCTCTTCAGCAAGTCTTGCCTACTTCCTGCCATGTAGGAGTCAAGGCGGAACACCTAGTCAGGGAAGAAGGAAAAACATGGAGACTCAGGGAGGCAAATGTTGTGCTTGGGAGGGTTCGTAAAAGGGGCAGTTCCTGGGGTGAATTTCCGCAGGATCTTCCTGTGTCCTGAATGATGACATGGCTTGTGGCACATGGCCAGGTCCACATTGTTTAATTTAACATGCTACTTTTAACACTTTTAGCTCCTGTTTTTCCAGAAGAGTTAAGTTAAGCTTGCAACATGAGTATGAAGTCCACCCTTTCCAGAGTGCTTCTGTCTACCATACTCAGGTGAATGAGCAGATGCAGGGAAATCCTAGATCTTAAAACAGGGATGGGAAAAGCCTGTGGCCCTGCAGAATGATGTTGCTGGACTCCCAGCCTCAGCTAGCATGGCAAAATGGTCAGAGGTGATGGAAAACAACACCAGAATAGCAACAAGTTCCCCATGCCTAACCTAGACAATCCTTCCTTCCATGAAAGGAAATTCCAACTACAGTGGTGCCTCAGGTTAAGAACTTAATTTGTTCTGGAGTTCCGTTCTTAACCTGAAACTGTTCTTAACCTGAGGTACCACTTTAGCTAATGGGGCCTCCCGTTGCTGCCACCGCGCGATTTCTGTTCTCATCCTGAGGTAAAGTTCTTAACCCGAGGTACTATTTCTGGGTTAGCGGAGTCTGTAACCTGAAGCGTCTGTAACCCGAGGTACCACTGTACTTTCTTGGGCAAGTTGAAGCTATGGAGGGTTCCAACTTACCCTTTCGGACATCATTGTTGAGATGGCTCTCCCAATCTCATGGTAGTAGTTGGCGTGAGGGGAATCTGGGCCCAGAACCACAAAAAGGAACCGGACAGGCACAGGAACCTCCAGAACGTAGTCCAGTTCTACAGCATCCTTCAAGCGCACAAAGGCTAGAGTGGGATGGTCCACGATGCTGGCACGGCCTGAAGGGAGGATGGATGGGTATGGGGCATCATTTAGGGGGCTTAGCACAGAAACAGAAAGAAAAAGAAACACAAACCATGTGCAGGAAAGGAAGGGATCCAGGCAGAGGCAAAGGGAGGTGGAGTGGAAGAGAATAGGGACACAGGAAGAAAACGAGAGACAGCAAAGTTTGCAAATGAGTTTGGCTAAGCCAGATAGAGAAGCGAAGCAGCGTTTTTGCCAGGGAGAAACATGGCTCCCCCTGACAAAACGCACAAGGCAAGCAAGAACCAGAACATACTTCCTCCCTCCCAAACTTGCTAGATTAGCTTACATCTTGTAGAAGGAAGAAGTTATATTATATCCCATGTTGGCTTGAATCAAGACTGGCTCTACCATTATGTAGGGTGGAGGGGCAAATTTGTGGAAATTTTAAACTCCAGCAAAGTTGTCAGTTGTTGTTGTTGTTGTTGTTGTTGTTTTAAAAATTAATATATTTGTAACAACTGGAGGGAGCATCTTTTGGGGATTTTCCATCTCAAACCCCAAAACATCTAAGGCTATGCTGGACAGACATTTTGAATCTGGTTAAAAATGTTTTTGCGATTTTAAATTTGGTTAATTTTTTTTTTATTTTAAAAAAAGGAAGAGAAAAGAAAGGAAGAAAGAAGGTGGAGCTGAGAGCAGAGAAATGTTTTTGCTAGTCTTTTGTGGTTAAATAGGGAGCTCTAACACAGACTACTGAGGCCCTGGGTCCCATTCAATGTTCCTTCTTTTCTCTTCCAATATCTGGGGACCTCTGAGAAAGGAGCCCTCAAGACATCCTGTTTATTAGGTACTCTTTATTATTTGTAGTTACAGATAGGTAGCCGTGTTGGTCTGCCATAGTCAAAACAAAAAAAATTCCTTCCAGTAGCACCTTAAAGACCAACTAAGTTAGTTCTTGGTATGAGCTTTCGTGTGCATGCACACTTCTTCTGCGGCTCAATGTGGTGCCTTCCATAGTTCCAGTTGAAGAAGTGTGCATGCACATGAAAGCTCATACCAAGAACTAACTTAGTTGGTCTTTAAGGTGCTACTGGAAGGAATTTTTATTATTTGTGTTCATGATGGTATCGGGGCAGACTAGAATCCATACTGCCCAACTTTTTCAGGTCAAAAACCAGGACATGCGTCTTTCAAGATGTGCTCCTGGGTGAGTTACATGACCCGCATCGTGATCTTGCCCCTCCCAGTGCTTTTTTGGGGTGCAATCTCAGGTGATGCCCCAAAATGTGCATTGCTGGTGGTTGCGCAAATTGCAGCTTCCCCAAAGCACTTTTGGGGAATGAGAGCACAGAGCGAGAGCATGGCACCCAAAATGGCCACCACAATCTCTCGCCTGGCCTCCCTTCATTGCTCTAAGACTCTCATTGGCCCCTCCACAACCCCATAGGTGGTGTCTGATTGGCTCACCTCACTGCCACTCTCACCCTGCCAAAGCTCTACCCTTCCTTGTATATGTGTTGCTGCTTCTAGCTCTCTGGCACCATTTGAAGGTCCCAGGGCTAGGAGGGTCCCACCGTCCAGTCCTAACAGTGCCATTGCACATGTTAAAAGTACTTACCAACCAGGACCAGTGTCGCTTCTGCATCAGGTGGGATCTTATCTGCCAATGGCTTCTTAATACCACCGCTGGAGCCTTCCTGCAACAAGAGAAGCAAGCAGTTAACCTCCAAGGTCATGAGGCAGGTTGACACGGCCCAAGTTCATCTCACAGTATGTGCTCTGTTGCTGCCCTCAGAATGGGAGATTCTGAGAATATGATGTTTTCATTTCTATGAATGAATTAGAATTTTCAGTCGTTTATTCCTCTGGTCTCAGCACATGAATGTCAACTCCAATCTAACATGTATATATGAAGTTCTGCTGTGTTTGGTGGGGGTCTTGGGTTATTGCTGTTTTTAAATATTGTACTGGTTTTTCTTTAAAATAAATGCAAGTATTGACCATTGGAACAGAAATCTGCTTTCAGAATGCATATATATTTGCACTCACCCTTCCCTGAAAACATGGCAACTTGTGAATATATAATTAGAAAAAGGCTATAGAACTTCATTTTCAATATATGATTACAGCAGTGAGACTTTATATGCACAAAGATGGAAAGACTCATAATTACCTACAATGAAGGAACTGTTGTCAAAATTACTGGATTTAGCTGATATGGCGAAGTTGCCATGTTAATAAGAGAAAAGTCATTGCCAACAATTACTAAAAATTGGAAACTTCTTATAGCCTTTTTGTGTGGAAAAGAAAATGCACTCATGACATTTGGGTTTGAAGATGGAAGATTATGTTGGTTTATAAAAAGTAGATTTGTTGGGTGTTATCTTGAAGTGGATGTGTTGAATAATTTTAATATATAGCTGACAGATATATATTCTTTCTTTCTTTTTCTTTTTCTTTCTCTGTCTTTCTATCTCTTTCACTCTTTCCCTTTCTAGTGTGTCTTTTTATTTAGATTAGCTTTTTAGCTTTGATAAAAAAGATATTTGATATCAATTTTTGTATTCCTATTTCCGAAATTTTAATAAATTTTATTTTTTAAAAAAAATTGACAACTTTTGCAGATTCAGGCTGCAACTCTAAGAATACTTAGCAGGGAGAAAATCCCATTGAACTCAGTGGGGCTTACTTCTGAGTAAAGGTGCTCTTATTAATCTGCATGCATTCTTCGGAGAACAGAGCATCAGTATCTTATGGTGCCAAACAGGCATATGAAATGAAAGGCTTTTGATTTACAAATGAACAGTGGGTTGTAAGTGCCCTTCTATACCTGAAGAGGGCTCCAAGGACTGATCACAAATTGGTCCCAGCCTTAACCCAGTGTGACTCCATTCTGGTTCAAGTCCCAGAGTTCCTGGAGTTGAGTTCACAAGATTGGTCTTCTCTATCTCCTAAACCCACTGACTGAAACTTGCCTTACCTGCTCTGAGTCAGCAGGGAAGGTCTTCATCTCAATCTGGTGATGTTCTTGCAGAAGTGGCTGTCCTGAGTCCTGGCCATCAGTTCTGTCCAGCCGCCCAGGCAGAAGAGTCCCCACTGAAGCAGACTCATCAGGGTGACTGGACAAAGGGGGAATAAATGAGGGGAGGGGAAGGAACCAAGAAAGAAGGGGCAGGGAGGGAAGGAGAAAAGTTTAATGTCTAGGACCTCGGACAAGCAGGCATCCAGTAAATAATTAAAATTAATAAATACTTTATGACTGGTTTCATTCACAGGCAACTGATACATGTGAAACTGTCAGAGGAGTGGGGAGCCAATATTCAGGAGGCTCAACACCCCACACAAGATGGGGCAGATGACGCCCAGTCCTAGCTGGGAAAGTTATTGTCTCTGTAGTGTTGAGCTTCCAAACCCTCATAAATGATTGTGAGGATATTTCCCTGCCACTGCTTCAAGCTCAGGAGGACGTCTGGGCAGTGGTGGAGCTTCATGCTCCGGCATCAGGGGGCGGAAAGCAAGCGGGGCGTGGCTCACGCTGTGGAGGCATGGTGCCCAGCGTGGGGGGGGCAGCCACGATGGCACCCTGCCGTGATCACACTGCCGGGGGCGGTACGCTCTCCCCACACTCCTCTTCCTCTGCAAGTGCGTCTGGGGTTATCTGCAACACACTGCACCCTAGAGACTCTCTAAGTGGCACAAAACCACATATGACATGGGACACACTCCTGCACTCTGGCTGAATTTGGAGCCAGCAGGGAGGGAACGGGATCACCCCCTGACTTTGTGCTGTGCTTTGGAAGTGTACCTGTGCTGAAGGAGGAGAGTCCTTAAGACTAACTCTCGGTCATCCGGCTTGATCTCCCTTCATGGATCATTTCATCAAGCATCTGATGGGCAATCCCAGCTAGGCTCTTCTCTTGCAGGTCTAGAAGAACAGTTCCTAGAAGAGTAGAAAGAAGGAACACACTGGCTGAAACCTGACAATTCAGAAGATATGCCTGCTAAAAATTTCAAAGGTACAAAGGAAGAGGATTTGGGAATCTTTCCAGATGACTATTCAGATCCCCCAACAAATTGTTGTCACTCTTATTTCGGAAAGTCCAGATTTTTCAGCAAGGTTATGCTCATGCTGTTGAATGGGTTGAAACTTATTTTCCCCCCAAGCTACCTTAAAAATATATGTATTCATATCAAACTTTACTGAAAGAGACAACCCTTGTTTCGTGGGGCCCTGGACAGGGTCTTCAAAATTATCCTAGGGACATCTCTTCTAGGGGCAAAAACGACATGGTCATTTGGAATTTTTATATCTTCCCCTTTGCAAGGACAAATAACGTAGAATCAGGATTTAGGCGAGAGGGAATTGGAAGTAGTGGGTGTGTTTGCCTATGTGTTGTAGGCAAGCAGAGCAGCTCCTAAAAATGATTGCCTGTGCTCAACCTGAGGGCCAATTCATACATAAATGCTGCATTTCCTGAATGCCACAGAGCGACAACAGGCACAAACCTCACAGCAATTTCCCTCACCTTTGCTGAAAGCCCTGCGCACCTCCAGAAGGCTCTGGAAATTCAAATAGGAGAGGTGTGGTCTTCCCCAGTGCCCCATCTCCTCAAAATCCTCTTCCAGGTTGATCCAGTGAGAAGCCTCCATCCAGCGAAGCTCGTTGTTCCTGTCCATGACCAGTTCATGAAGTTCTACAAATGCCTGGGGAGTATAGCAAAGGGCCCTGCGATTATATTGGCCACCTTTTCCCCTTCCCCTTTTGCATCTCTTTAGGGCAGATGTACACTCATGGTTCATAAGGAATGGTTTTTATAACATAGATGGACATATTATGTTTTGCGCTTGTAAGGTGAATGATACGTTATTAAAACGTGACACTAGAGGGTGCTGCAGAGCAACCGGCAGTAGGGAAACTGCGTTTTGACAACACACACACAAAAAAGGTAAGGAACGTTTTTAACTTACTAGTATGTCCTGTGACATTTTAGAACGATATATCTAATATTGTTCTAATAACGTTAAAAAGGTCAGTGTAGATCCAGCCCAGGTCTCTTTAGCAGTAGCAAAAGAGAAAGAAATTCAACAAATCGGGGCCTCCCTTAAAGAGGGCACGTATTGTGGTGAGACCTGGACAACCGACACCCTGTGTTGCGGGTGGGTATAATTGGTCAGCCACAACACCCGATTGGTAGGTCCCTTCAAGCTGGGTACAATCTGGCCAATGGGACGCAGTCCAAACGGTTCAAGGGACCTATTTATGCCCATGCATGTGACCCAGAGCTTCCTTCTTTCGGTGCGTGCATTCGGAACACCCGTCCACCTCTCCCTACTTTTAGGGCTTGCTGCGCTTGACCTTGCTATGCCGTCGTGTATCATCTGTTGTTGGGACAGGGGCATGGCAGGAATTTTCCCCACTTGGCTGATTGGCTGTTGCCATTTGGGTTTCGCCTGCCGCGTAGCAAGTCGTCACAACTTGTAAGGTTGCAGATAGGCTCTGGTTCAGGTGACAGGGATGGGAGAACGCTCTCACCATCCCTATGTGAAGGATATTCCATTAAAGGAATCCGGGGACTCGATGGTTTGGTCAACCCCTGAGAGGGGTTTGTGCCCGTGCCTGAGTCCAGGGGGACGTTTGCGTGGAGGAGTTGGCCGTTCCCGGCTTTTCTCTTATCCAGGTGTTCATCCTTGGCTGACCTATGCTGGAACCCTGGGTCAGTGCTACCTGCATGGCAGGGAGCTAGTTGAACCAGAGCCTATGCAACCAGTCACTTTCTGTAATCAATAAAGTTGTGGCCTAAATTCTGCCAAAAACCAAACCAAAATTTGAGTCAAGTGTGAATTTATTTTAGGGGGGAGGTTTCTGGGTCTGAACACGCAAGTACAGAGATAGCTTAGTGGGAGGCCGATAGTTTCACCTGTTGAATTTCTCCCTGCAATGAGCACATTAAAGACACAAGGAGCACTGCCAGAAAGAAAAGCTTCCTTGTTAGTGAGACAAAGTAAAATTCAAAGCTCTCCAGTCCCTAGGAACTTACCTCATGTGTGTTTCTGCGACAGGAGGGTGATGGGGCAGCCTCCCCACTTCCTATTGCTTCCTCAGGTGAGGAGCCACCTGCCAACAGAAAAATATGTGTATTTATTACTTTTGAATCCCACCCCTTCCCCAAATTCCTCCAAGAAGCTCCATGCAGCATGCATGAAATTTCCCAACTATATGCCCCCAACAACCACATGAAATAAAGTTAAGCTGGCAGATATGGCCTTGTCAAAGGACATCCAGTAAGCTTCATTTTCTAGAATGTCCAGGTCCTTGTCCAGGTCCACAGCAATGTATCTATTGTCCCGCAGGGTCTCAATAGTTAATCAAGTCTCCTAAGATACTGTCAAGAATGTATGATTTGCTGTTGAAATGGAACACTGAGGATGAAACGGTTAAGTCGGCTATGATAAAATGGGCTCAAGACATTGGTCATAACATTATGTTTGCTGACTGGGAACGGTTGTGGACCACCGGTATGAAATTTACGGCATGTAGTGCCTTAAGAGAAAATATTATGAAAATGATCTATAGGTGGTACATGACACCAGTCAAGCTTGCAAAAATTTATCATTTGCCCGATAATAAGTGTTGGAAATGTAAAGAAACTGAAGGAACATTCTTTCACCTTTGGTGGACGTGCCCAAGGATAAAGGCGTTCTGGGAAATGATCTATAATGAACTGAAAAAGTATTTAAGTACACCTTCTTGAAGAAACCAGAGGCCTTTCTCCTGGGCATAGTCGGCCAATTGGTGTCAAAGAAGGACAGAACTTTCTTTATGTATGCTACAGCAGCAGCAAGAATACTTATCGCAAAGCATTGGAAGACGCAAGATCTACCCACTCTGGAAGAATGGCAGATGCAAGTAATAGACTATATGGAACTGGCAGAAATGACCGGCAGAATCCGAGATCAAGGAGAGGAGCAGGTGGAAGAGGACTGGAAGAAGTTTAAAATTTATCTTCAAAAATATTGTAAAATTTATGAATGCTAAGGGCTCTGAAAATGAAATGAAGGGGTTTTAGCGATTAAGTTAAATAGACTGTAAAGAGATGGACAAAGGCTTAAAAATGAATAACTAATGATCTTGCTGAATTAATTTTTAAAATAGAATACAAGAAGGGAAGGCGGGTGGAAGTAAAGAGAATAAGGTTCTGAAAATTATCAAAATGAAAGAGTGTTCTTTTTTATGCTATACTTTTTTCTGTATTCTTTTTTGTATTTTTTCCTCTTTTTTGATGTTTTATTGTTTGGATTTTTGAGGTTTGTCTGTTCTTTTTTGTGGTTTTTTTCTGTTTGGTTGTTAATTCTTTGGAATTTCTAATAAAATATTATTTAAAAAAAATAGTTAATCAAGTCTCACTGCACTTTGTTCCCTTTCTTGTGTGGCCCAGGTGAACTTCAGGTGTGTGACAGAAGCGGGTTTTTGGTGTATATTCCCTCAACTGGAATCAACTTTGTCCTTAGAATCAGGGTGGCATACTGGCTAAATTGTTAAGACTACAACTAGAGACGCCTAGGTTCAAATCTTCACTCAGCCATGTAGTTCCCTGGGTAACTCTGAGGTGGTCATTCTTCTCCCCCAGCTTAACCATCCAGAGCTCCTTGGAGGCCTAATAATAATAATTTATTATTTATACCCCACCCATCTAGCTGGGCTTCCCTGGCCACTCTGGGCAGCTTCCAACAAAATATTAAAATACAGTAATGCATCAAACATTAAAAGCTTCCCTAAACAGGGCTGCCTTCAGATGTCTTCTAAAAGTCTGGTAGTTGTTGTTCTCTTTGACATCTGGTGGGAGGGCTTTCCACAGGGCGGGTGCCACTACTGAGAAGGCCCCCTGCCTGGTTTCCCCGTAACTTGGCTTCTCGCAGTGAGGGAACCACCAGAAGGCCCTCGGCACTGGACCTCAGTGTCTAGGTAGAACAATGGGGGTGGAGACGCTCCTTCAGAATGGAATAAAATGTGTGAATCGATGGTGCGCACTAGAGACAAGAGTTTCTAGAGGCCAGGTGGAAGTGGCTGATACATCAAGAATAGCCATTCTAGTTCACAAGTAGCAAAAGGTAAAATGTATCCCCAGTGGGAAAGATATAGCTCTGTGGCAGAGCATCTGATTGCAGGCAGGAAGTTCCAAGTTTGAGCCTCAGTATCTCCAGGTAGGCCTGAAAACCTGGAGAGCTGCTGACAGGCAGTGTAGTGACTTAATATCAGGGTCATGGGTTCGAGTTCCACATTGGGTAAAAGATTCCTGCAGTGCAGGGGGTGGGACTAGATGACCCTTTTGGTCCCTTCCAACTCTACAATTCCACAGTTCCATGAAACAGACAGTACTGAGCTAAATGGCAGCTTCCAAATGTTCAATCTCTTCAAAAAGGCAAAGACAGGGACAAAGTAGGGAACAGTTTTTGTGCCCCTGACAGGTACCAGAAAAACAAGACAATTGGTGCAAACCCAGTTTCTCGGAGTTCTCTTGCAATTTTTCACAGCTCCTTCTTTCTATTTCCACTTCCCCTAATTCAAAGATTTGTCCAGCTGTTGTAAAGCCAACAGAATAGGCTTTTGAAATCCCACTGTTTTCTTTTCTTCCTCCCACTATCAGAAGTCAGGACCTTCATTTCAATTGAGCGTAAAAGATAAGAGAGGTATTGTCCTCCTGCTGTCAATTTCTGGAAGTTGGTGCTCTCTATATATTGGCTGCTGCAACTGATCTTTGAGAAAGGTTCTAAAGGGGGTTGCAGAATGCTGGGTTTGACCTGAAACTTCAGGATTTTAGCATCATTTTCCGGGTCTCAAAAAAAATGTAAAACCGCAGGGTGAGAAGCCAAAATAAAGGCAGCAGGTAATTGCATAAAAGCTGCAGTGTTTCTGTTTTAGCCCTATGTCCACCAGGCTGTGAGATATCAGGCACAGACCGGCTCTCCTGTCTGCCCCCAAAGAGGCACTACTAGGACCTGCTTCTATCTCATAAGGTTCCGCCTCCTGATCTTCCAGGCGCTATCCAGGCAACCCTGCATTTCAGGATTGGAGACCAAACAGCAGCCCTTGTTTCTGACAATCTCTGCCATACCTTGAGTGGGCAAAAGGATCCATTGTTTGGGGCTTTCATGCAGAGTGTGGGAGGCAAGGAAAAGTGTGCCCCCAACCCCATGGCAGCTCTGACTTGCATATTTTAACATTTAGCACTCAAAAGCAATCTACGCATGCCAAATGATACTACACCAAGAACACAATGTACATCTAAATTATGCAGAACTCAAAAAAAGGCTCCAAATCAAACTTTGGTGATTTGATGTGCATAAAAGCATGGAAGAGTGTCAGCAATTTAATAATAATAAAATATTTGGCATGCGTAGATTGCTTTTGAGCTGTGGAGATCCTGATTCATAGCTTACTCTCTTAGCCATTAAACGACATCACCTCTTTATTTATTCACAACTTGGGCAAGTAGCAGAATTCTGGATGGCATGCGAAATGACTTTCACAATTAAAAGGCAGTGAAGACCTTATCTTAAATTGATCCATTATGATAAATAGGAGCAGCCAGCAGTTCCTGCCATGGTCATCCCATTTAGCATAAAGAAATAGCATATATATATATATAATTAATATTTTGAAAATTGGCATATTAACTCCACGTATTTTGCCATTTGCTTAATGAATTGGCATTCCGATTATTAAAACATAGATTAGTATGTTGCATGAGCCAAAAATAATATGTTGCATCAGCTATCAGCTACTAGACATTGGAAGAAAATGACAGGAAAGGCCATATCTTGTTAGTGAGATTCCAAAGCAGCCTTCCTCCACCTGGTGCCCTCCAGGTGTTTGGACTTCCAACTCCCATCATCCCTCACTGGCAGAGCTAATGGCAAGAGATGAAGGGAGTTGTAGTCTAAAACATTTGGAGGGCACCGGGTTCGGGAAGTCTGCTCCAGGCCTGTTAGAATAGACTGCTGGGTTCAGTGGATCCTTGGTCTGAAGCAGGGGTCAGCAAACTTTTTCAGCAGGGGGCCGGTCCACTGTCCCTCAGATCTTGTGGGGGGGTCGGACAATATTTTGGGGAAAAAAATATGAATGAATTCCTATGCCCCACAAATAACCCAGAGATGGATTTTAAATAAACATTCTACTCATGTAAAAACACACTGATTCCCGGACCGTCCGCAGGCCGGATTTAGAAGGCAATTGGGCCAGATCTGGCCCCTGGGCCTTAGTTTGCCTATCCATGGTCTGAAGCAACAAAGCAATTACAGTTGTACCTCAGAAGTTGAACGGAATCCGTTCCAGAAAACTGTTTGACTTCCAAAACGTTTGGCAACCACGGCACAGCTTCCGATTGGCTGCAGGAAGCTCCTGCAGCCAATCGGAAGCCACAGACGTAGTGGCGGACTTCCGAGGTACGTCTGTATTGCATTCCAAAGTCTACCCCTGTTCGTTGCACCAAGTGCATAATCAGATGTCACAGAGCTATATTTTCAAATGTGGGGATGATTTTAAGCAAAAAAGTGTGTTCTCTCTCTCTCTCTCTCTGTCTGTGTGTGTGTGTGTAAGAGAGCAAAACAGAGAAATGGCAAAGCCATGAAGAGTTCAACACCTCCATGCACAATTTCTTCATTTTCAATGGCTTCCACATCACTCTTTGGTAGTGACTTGTGTTTCAAGACACAGACCTGCCACTGTCACATTTAGTTCCACACAAAGTTGGGACCAGCCAGTTCCAAGCTTCCCCATAGATCCACAATCACAGAGGAGTTTGCATCAGTGGATGGTTCCCATGAGACAACAACAGGAGCCTCAAACAAGCAAGCCAAGCCACTTGCAAGGGAAAACAATCAAACAAGAAAACCCCAGTGAGCGTCACCACCAGCCACTCTACTCTCTCAAATACCATCCTGATGCCTAATACAGTTACCATTCAGACTCTGAGGCTTAAGCAAAATCAACTTCTCTGAAGGGAAAGTATATTGGAATTTAAGTGCAGCCTCCCCTCCCCAGAACCCTACCTGACTAAGTGTCTGGAACTGGTTTTTCATTGTTGTATGTCAACTGCAATGTACAAATAGGCTGTG